GTCCTTTGATTTACCTATTTATTTATTATGGTGAAGAGCGAGCGCTGCGACTGTCATCTGAGACGGATCGCTGACGTCCGTTATTTTTGTAATTTATTCGGTCTGATTATAAAATCCTACGCCCTGCGATGGACTGTGAAGACGATGATCGGGATGTTGATGTTTATACCAACCCCCCGGTGCCTTCATATTTTTATATTTATTATGCTTAGGGAAGTAAATGTAACATAGGTAATCCCATAAATAATATGTAAAACCCCTACAAACATATAACGAGTAAATAAAACTGATATTATGTACCTAACTGTGTCGTTAAGTTTTAGAATATTAAATCATTAGAACCAATATAACCTGATCTCTTCTTACTATTTTAGACTACATTTCCAAAGACCAAGTTACACTGGTAGTTAGAAACCAGCCTCTTATACCTAATTTTCCTTTAATATAAATTGTTTTGAAGATTGTACCTAAGCATTTAAGTTATGTTTTGTGACATAATTTAGATGCTTCGAATCTTCTTAAGTATATGTTGAGTGGAACGCTGTTACTTTGTTTATGGAATACTGTGTGTTGTTATTGTTTGTTTAGGTTCTAGATTCGTGTAGGAGTTTTAGGAATATAATAATACATATTTATATCGTTCCGAGAGTCTCTCATTACTGTATTCTCCTTCGGAATTGGGGAGGGATGGTGGGAGAGCCTCCACAATCTCTAAATCTCCCAAGCACTCGTCAATCCTCTGGTGTTGCTGGTATCCATGGAATACTTTACACTAGGATTTTCTCCTGTGTCGTGGGTGCTTTTACAAATATACTATACTATATACCGTGGGGGAATCGAACCTACGACCCGATTTGCTGCATCTTTGTCATATATCGGCAGACAAGAGGTTAGGTAATAGTGGAGAAATTTTGTCATTACACCTGAGCGAAGCCGGAGCTGTTCGTTAGTATATTATAAAATGCATCTCTAGTCAAACTATCACGCTGCATAAACCCGGTGACACAGACAACAAGCGGACAGCGATCTTTCAGGATTTCGTTTTTACCCTTTAGGTACGGAACCCTTAAAAAGAAACAACTTACTGTGTTTTTTTCTTTTTGAGGGTAAAATCATCAAATGACTTCTCCCGCCTAGGGCCGGGCGAGAGGGAGTGTCAGACTCTTACAGACGACAAACCCGCCTGTTCCTTTTCCTGCTCTAGGCCGGTCGCGGTGCCTCATTGCGCTTACCCCGCAACCCCGGCTGAACTTACTGTGTAAGTACTGTACTGTGTACCTGTGTAGGTACTCGTTCATCTAAGGGCAATTTATTGTTTGCTACTTTTTGCCCGCGACTTCGGCCGCGTAGCATAGTGAAATTGAGTAGATGATAGCATAGTGAAATTGATTAGATGTAGATGTAAATTTTACAAAATTATACAAGGCAAATGGCTTGTCTAGTTTTGTAAAATTTATTTTAGAAATTAGGGCACCCGTTTTCCATACATGATACTACAGTAAAGAAATCAGGCATGTGATGATTTTTCGAGTTATATGTCCTTTGTAAGTTTGTAGACACCAGATCTCTTCTCCCGCCTAGGGTGAGGCGGGAGGGAGTGACAGACTTTTACAGACGAAAAATCCACCCGTTCCTTCTCCTGCTCTATGCCGGAGCCGCGGTACCTCATTGCGCTTACCCCGCTACTGCCATGAGATGAAGGATAACAATTCGAATTTCGATAAGTTTGAAATCATCAAACGTTCTCCGTGAGACTAGTCATGTCTTTCGAAGTGTGGAAGAGCCAAGCTTCGGTACGAATGAGCCGGCTCGACTGAAGTGATACACAGACTTAGAGAAAACCACGTGGCCTTATGTTTTATCGTATGAGTGAGGTTAGCGGAGGCCCAATCTTTCTTTCCCCTCCCCCAATCCCTAATTCTCCACAGCTTTAATCCCCAATAGGCCGGCAACGCGCTCGTAACTTCGGTGTTGCGTGTGTCAATAGGCGGTGCAGATTACTTACCATCAGGTAATCTGTATGGTCGTTTGCCGATGTAGATAGGTTGATGATGTAAAAAAAATGACATTCGGGATAAATGACGTGAACCAACCCTCGTATCGTTTTGCTGCAGGAAGGACGAGGACTATCCCAAACCAACTCAGTCTAAGAGGTATAGTCCAGTTAGGGGTGTGAAGAGATTGATTAGATAAATAAAACCAAAAATATCTATTTCATTTCGTTTATTCCAATATCGACGTCGAATACTTATGTCTATGTAACAAAGTCCAAGCTATCCTATAATAATATGACAATCATCAGTCGCTCTCTGCTTTACCTTATAACATCCATCTTTACTGATAATTAGATACACATACTCCTCACTTAGGTACATAAACTTATATGGTCGATCTATCATACAATGGCCGTACCGTTCTTTTTGCTCAACAGATGTCGCTAGTGTAGCAAAATATTAGTTTGCCCAGAGGTTAGAGAGAAGGACAACTATCGCTACGTGCTAAAACATTAGCCCTCCTGTCCCTAATAATTTGTAGAATTAATAGTTCATTTTTCAGCTATCAGTCGCGCTGCCGTCGCTAATTAGTATCTGTGTAACTAGCTGTTTGTGAGTGCAAGTATAGATGAAGTTAGTTGACTAATGTACAAATTTTCGTCGCGTCATTGGTTAGCGTACAACAGACCGCTTTTATTGCCTTTTTTATTTTTCCGCATTTCTGAGACACTATTTTCTACAGTCATCTTTCTCTTTCTCTCTAACCTCTATGGTCCAATCAATATAACTGTCAAAATTAAACAGCCAATAGTGTGACACTTGCTAATTCGCTATTGGACGAAAATATGATCTACACCAACGCCATCCGGTGAGCAAAAATACGATCGCCTTCATTAACTTAAAAAAACGATATTTATCGCAGTTACAAGATTATCACGCGCTTAAAAAGTAAAACGCCATAGACAAAAGATGGGTGTAGATTCAAGGCTTTTGAGCCGCGTCGAATGGACACCCGTCCCTTCAAGTCACTTGAAAATAAATGAATTAACTTTAAACTTATTGTTAAAGACATCAGTTTTTTCTTCTATTACAAATATAGAGAAATCAAAATCAAAATAATATATAAAGAACATTTTTTTTCAATTAGTTCGTTAATTCAAGTGACTAAAAAACGTAAATTACTACAGTTACCTATGAAAGGTATAATGAAATTTCAAAAATAAAGTTTCAAAATATAATGTTCATAAAAACAGAAGGCACTTAATCCCTTTAAGTTGACAATTAAATTAACCTCGTGTTCATGTCAATAAATAAAAAAAAGTTTTTAAAAGCGTCCTTATCCTTAAATCTTTATATATGGCAGTGTTTTATTTGTAGGTGGCCATTTTTGAAAATATATTCACTTAAATTTTGAAAAATAACCACCAACAATGCCTAAGTACGAGTAATTGAACATTAATATTACATTTTTAATAATGTATGTATGTATGTATGTATATTGGAATGTCATTAAAGTTATTTTTTACACCGTTCCTTAATTATTTTATGGTTATCGGGAATTATTGAGTTCTGATACTTATTGAAACCCAACAAAATAAACCACAAAAGTATGAAAAATCATCAAAAAAATTATAAACTATTATGAAGCAATGGCAAATTACAAAGCCGCTTTTACGTTTTGGGAAGAGAAAACAAAAAACATATTTGTTACATACACAATAAAACTAATATTTGCAATTTGTGGTACATATGTTTAGTTGAAAATCATATAAATCAACATTTTGTTGATCAATGTTTAATTTAAAAAAGGATTTTAAAATTGCAAACTCAAATAAAAGGGGAGAAATTAACATTTATTTTCACATACGTACGGCAGCATAAAAATAATAATTATACGAAATTAAATACGTAAACAGCTCATAGGATCGGTATCAAAATTATAAAAAAATTAAACCTAAATCAAAGTACATGACAGTACTATTTTTAATCTGTGCCTACTTAAAACTAATTACAAAACAACATCAATAACAATTAAAAAAAGGTTTTAATTAAGCGAACGAAACGACTAAATCATTAAATCTATGGACACAAAAAACATAAGAATTCGTCTAAACAGAATAATGCAACATAAAAAACTATTTTCTCGATAAATTTAATCAGTTTTTACCAGCAAAACGGAATATTATTCCATCGTGCTGAATTAAAAAAAAAATAAAAAAACCATCTACATAGTTCCAATTGTCTGTCACGTTTTTCAGAATAGTATTTAACAAAATTTTTGCGAATACAATTGAGAAAGTTTTTATTGGTCCGAAATAAATAAAGAATATTTATCCGTAGCTATTTAGTTACATTCTAAGGATATTTATAACATTATATGGATATTACACACAGGCATATGTCATATTGAAAATTTTGTCCAAACAACGGTACCAATTAGGGAATAATTTTTAATATTACAATTCGTTGATATGCATAATGATAAGACACCTTGTATATTCACCTAACATTAACCATACAAAAGTTACTGAATATTAAGTTTTCACACAATGTTTAACCTTCACTGTACATATTTACATATTTTTTTTATATATAATATACTATATTCCAATGTAGACGATCTTACATTTAGATTTGAAACTATGCATTTAATATTACACGTTCATTAAAATTAAAGGTACGAAAACTTTTTAGTATTTGCACCGTACACAATTACACATGTAAATGGCTGTCACGTAACAAAATTTGTGTAAAACACTAGTCAATATGTAGGCCCTTTTATAAAAACCAATACAAAATGTTTTGAAACATAATATTATATTCGTGTGTATGGCTTATTATAATAAAAAATAAGAAAAAATGGCACTTTCGTTCCATCTTCAATATTACAAGGTAGGAGTTGCCTTTCCAGCCAAGCCTCAACCGTTTTCGAATTTCGAAAATTTCTGAATTGTAGCTAAGTTCAGATAGGTTGACATTTGACTCACTTCACATTTAATTCTGATGTTAACATTCGTCAAAATGCCACTATCAGAAAAAGCTCTACAAATATTTCATTCAATTAAGTATTTAAAATCACTTTTAAGTAATTTACTGAATGAAATCAGCTGCCAAAGTCAGGCGAGGCGACTGTCGAAGCGTGTGACCAACCATAACCAGTACCGCTAACTAATCTAAGGCCGAACTATTAAAAAACTAAATGAATAATACGTATAAAAGTCTTAAATAGAAGTCATACATCACTCAATTTCTGTCCTAAACATTTTACAATATAAAAATTACATAGTCGAAATAATTTAGGCGTATCTACAACAATGCCTAAATGTTACATCAGTCATTTTCTTAAAAACATTTCTTTAATGTGATTTATTTGAATACAATTATAATTGAATACATATAATTATTATCTTAAAACGCATTTTACTAAGAACATTCCACCATTTAAGATTATCACTTTGCTTTTAAATTAATCAGTTTTCAATTGAACCCACTTTTTGAAACGTAATTGCAATTCTCGTATTTTTAAAATGTAATACTGTTGTTCTTTCACAAATTGTTTTTGACACATTTTTTTTTTATTCTTATAAATCGTAGCTAAGGGATCGGTTCCAATTATGTTCAGTAGAAAATAAAGTCTAGTAGATTGTGATGCCTAACAAATCTTTTAGAGCAGATTTTACTGATAGTTTTCGCAGGGTATGTAAGAACAATTCAGAATCAAATGATCTAAAGAAAATAAGACGTTACTAAAAATAATTAGGCCGCAATTTTCTAAAAATCACATTATTAAAAAATAACAATCAATAAAAAAAAACAATTGAAACAATAGCTGCAGCACGAAATAGAACAGAAAAAATAGAAAAATAATTAACACAAATGTCACTCATCTGTCAAAAATATTGTACAACATTATTAAGTCACAGATAAAAAAAAATAGAATCAACCGCCAAACTTCATTCAATCCCAAAGCGAACCGTCAAAAAAGGTCACATTATCACAATCATGGTTCTAAATTCAAATTTAAAATGTCAATTTCAATGAAAGGGGTTATCCGGTGGGGTGTAATTGTCACTGGCAACACAAGTACCTTGTTAAATCAAACGCTGTTAAGCGGTAAGGCATCATGGAGCTTGGTGGTTTACCAAGCACTTGGCACAGGGCCTGGACAGTCAGAAGTAGGCTACACGAGCCAAGCGTGGCGCTAGCACCAAGACTCCTCGTGCGGCCGATCCTCGTCCTCATCACCATACATGTCCGCCAACTTGCGGAACCGCGGACCGAATGTTTGTAGGTAGTTGAATTTGAGGTCTCCGTCGTCCGTACCTAAGGAATTGTAATAAAATTAATACTTGGCTAAAATCTCTAAAATCTTTTTTGTTAGTCTGTTGAATGCAGAAGATAAGGTTTCGATCTGAGAAAAATGATCTCTCTATATCATAAAATATCGTAAAATTCTCAATGCATTTTAAAAGTGGAGATTATTTTTTTTTATTCTGAAAAAGGTTGGTTTCTATCAATCGGGTTTATTACTATTGAAAATTTGATATTCGCAGTAAGATTGTATCAAGAATGAAATCAGTCTTGTTAGGCGTGCATGAAACATTATCGACAATACATTTACTGCGAACATTTTATATTTTAAGTTTCAGTGAAAAATGTTTCAGTAATACATGTAAATGGTTTCAATTCTGTTTTAAATATGCTTGGTGAAAAACGCCTTTAGCAAAATGTATAAGTAGATTAAAAAAAAGCATTTTGATAATATGCGCAGTCTGGCTAAGATTTGCCAGACTGCGATGCACGCTTGGTTTAATAGCTTTATTGTTGATAAAATTGCAAGAGACATCCATAAAGTCATAAGATTAAAAAATTACGATAGTACAAAAAGAACACCTAAAAATAAAAATGTATTACAATGCAGGTATAATAAGTCATTTCAAATAACCATTTTAATCCTGAGCAGGTTTTTCTACAACGTTAGCGAAATACTTCTTAAGAAAACGGAAGAAATTCGCAATAAACTACCTAAAGTAAAATACTTAGACGTTACTTAAAAACCATTCAAATTACTATCTTACTTCTAATAAATATAGGATCGAAAACTATACTTACAGCTCGCTAAAGAAGAGAGAGAACCACTAGTATTCCCGTCTCCCTCGTACGCGTAGTGACGGACGTCATCATATGGCGTGATGTCTGGATCCCGATCAAGGACAGACTTCTTGTCGTCCAGAAATCCTGAGATGTCTGGCGCTGCACCTACCATACCTAGGACAATAATATTATTAATTTATGAGCTTAAGTAACAACTATGGCTAAGGAATAGCAGGGTAAGGCATTTTTTTGTAAAATTAAATATGCACCTTATTTCCAATAACTGAAGTCACATTTTACTTATGTTCTTTTAAATGATATTCCATATTTGAGCGAAGAATATTTTTGTTAAATCGTAATTGACCGAGTTCGAAATTCAACAGCAATGTGAAAAGTGAAATATTATAAAAGTATTCGAAGAATACCTATTTCGGTTTAAAATAAAAATTTGGATCTTCTCATTCCCTGCCTTCCAACTATTGGTAAAGGCAAAAAAGTTTTTACCTAGGATAATCATAAGCCGAAAATATACCAAGCAAATTGCATTTCTACAAAATAAATAATTGAACTATATACATATACCAAGGATCCCAAAATAAATTTAACTATTTTAATATCGCACTAAAAGTATCTGTGATAAGGTCTACCAGTTACTACATCGCTAGGACGCAAAATTGCTTATGACCTAGAGTCCCATTGTGACTTCGAAATTAGTCGACAATTTCTCAATGAAGCTACGTGAGTAAGATTTTCAATCTATGTCTCACGATAGTTACTTTAAAACAAAGCATCATTATTCTTTATTTGAAAATTAAAGTACGAATGGATTTAAAAAAACAACTGAGAATACTATGATATCCATTTTCAATGGCCGATCATCGACCCGTTGACCTGGCAAAACCAGGTTAAAAATGAATCCTAGATCTCATTACACTTAGGTATATATTTTTTGCTGGAAACCTGCTTTTGTCAGTAAATTATTTTATTGAAGCGCTGAGATTTACGGATTCCAGTAAATCTGATGTAAATATAATAATATAAGAGACGCCGTCTTTTCCTTTCTTCGAACTGCGATGATTTTGAATTCGTTTCGTCGTTTCTTTTGCTTTTATTCCGTGTTGTATTTACCTGTCCGTTGTACAGAGATATGATCTATGATTTATTTTGTGAAAGCTTTAGATTTTTGCCGTACTTTAAGAGAGTTCTCGTGGCACGGGCTTCTCAGTAATTATTATATATTAATTTATGTTAATACGGATTTGATCTATAGTCAGAATTTTAATTAGATTCCTGATTTGACATAACCTGCTGTCATTTGTGAAATAATGATACCACATTTATCAGTGTAGTGATGAACACAAAAATCGATATACAATCAGTGAATCAGTATCAGGAAGGCATTCAAAAAATTACGGCTACTGAATGGTCTAAATGCGTATCCTATGTTGTCAAAGAAGAGGAAAATATGAGTAACACTATTCATAATAAATGTTACAGAAGGTAACAACGATAGCGATAGCGATGACGGTGACAATTTATAAAATGCCTGTTTTATTTGTCACGTTCCTTCATGATCACATTTTTTATTAATTTCACACACAATTACAAAAGAAAAGTCTCAGTTCGTTAATTAATTGTCAAAACTAAATTATCGGATCAGAAATATTTTATTTCCTGATAAACTTAGTTTACGAGAGTAAATTTATAAACGAGAGGAATCGATTCAGAAATATTCGATTCCCATATCGAATAATTTCGCAACGTCACTATTTAGTACGTGTCATAACGTTGCAACACAGAAATTGTCAAATCTGGAATGGAATTAAAATTCCGAGTATAGTTACATTAACAACAAAAACCAAGAAAATCTTCCCCTTTCTTCTCTTTTCTCAATCCCTCTCAAATCAAATCAAATCCCTAATCCCGAATCTTAATCGGTTTAGTTATTTCCAGTCCATGAGCTTGGACTTAAACAATGTATGGAAATCATGACCGCCAAAAAGCTCTTTAAAGTGATTAATATTTTTCACATTCTCATCCTTTTGAAATATTAAAAACAAAATTCTGAGAAAATCGGACCAAATTTTAATAATTGTTGATTGAAAATCCTTTTGACATTTTTCTTGATACATATACAAGTTGTATTTACACAAATAGTAAATACTATGAATGGATACTGGGATTCCAACATGTCCAATGTGTATACATTTTTTCTACAAAATATTTATATCCGCTACGGCTAGTTGAAAACATGATTAAAAAGATATCTCAATTTGTTGCTCTTTGGCCAATATGTGAGTTTGAAATGACAAGTAGCAAAAGCTCCAATAAAAAGTCATATTATAGGTAAAGCCAGTCTCTTAAACAACTTTAACATTTAAATTTCGAATGCAAATGTAAATAGAAAATTCAATGGACTTCAAATCTCACACAAATTAATGTTACGAAGAAGACGACATTGCTCACGTAACCACATGTGTGACGAGGTTACTCGATTAGTTTCAAGTCACAACGGGACTCTTATTCGACGTCGCATAGACGACGGGCATGTGAGTACATAAGTCGTTATTTCCAAGAATTTGAGTAAACCTTTTTCTTAGATTAAAACGTTGCCCCACACTAGTGTGTCTCTTGTGTACTGGGTGTGATTACAAACATACAATTTCACATACACATCACACCCAGACCCGAAACTACAATTTATGGATCACGTTGAGCGGCAGTCACTTGCCCAGCCATCCCGCCAAATGTGCGGGACCTTACAGTGTTAAGCACAAAAAAACCTTAGTATAATTCTTACCTCTACTCTGCATGAAGGTGTCAGTATCAGGCAATGGACCATCATACATTTGCCTGAGGACATGCAGGTCGTATCCAGCATCTCCCTCGCCGCCACCTTCGTCTTCGTAAGCAATGATGTTCTCTCTAATATCGTCCAGCTCCTTCTCAGCCCAGGCGTCAGCTCGCCTTCGATGTACGACCACTGCTAGGAGAAGTACTGCAACAAATGATGGTGGTTAGGTTCTGAAGATGATATAAGCCTGATACAATTAAGGAGGTTATTCTTCTTAGAGCTGATTTTTCAATAGTAAGATAAAAGTTACCTGGGGAATAATTATGATGCTGTCGCGTCAGAGTGTTTGTATAAGACAGTGCCAACAACAGTTTTATTTCTCAGAAAACTTTTTCTGACTATTGTAAAATCAGCCCTTATACCAGTAAGTTACTTGCGTCGTTCTAGTACTTTTGTCCTTAAAGACCATTGTTTTTTATTTACTCTTTAGTTACGTTTGTGAATAACTGACTCTGCCTCTTTTTAATAAAGAACTTTGGTCATAATGTTTTTACAATGAGCTACTAATCTCGCTGGTATTTTATCACTTAATAACTACTATATATCAGGTATTTGTCAAGAAATCAAACATGCAAATTGCTTGAACGTCAAAAAAACTGTTTCCGCTAAAATCTCGAAAACGTGCACTAAGTATTTTTAAAAGGGTCCCTTTGACACCCCTAAGGTCAGTTTGAGACCTCTCCAAGCAAATGTACGCCCGAGAAAAGTTTTAAAATGAATTTATCAAAGTAAAAGTATATGAAAATATTATGCCGATTTCACCCAAAGCCGGCCCTTGCCTCGCAAAAGTTAATATTTTTATTAAAAAGGCATGTGACAAGGATTTTTTTTAAACTTTTTTTTTTGAAATTCATCAAATTTGGAAACATATTTTTTGTTTACAGAGAAATTGGAGTGAGAGAATTTGTACAAAAAAATCTGCCTATCTGCCTAAAACAGAGGTTTTGGGTGGAATTGATTTTGCCTTGATTTGAGTTAATGAAGGATGGTATATATTTGAATTAAACAAAAAAATACATTGTTTTGTTTTGTAAAGCTTGAGCGATGTTACATTTTATGTCATATAAAATGTATCTTGTTGTATAAGCATAGTAAATTTGATTGAATTAAAATTCTGATACGTGCTACATTTTTATGAGTGACGTTTTAAGAAAAACCGATGAAAAACAATAGACTATCATATTAAATTTTGCTCACTTGTTAAACAAAACATATAAAACAGTCTGCTAACTCCTTAAACAGTATCAGATAACAATATTTCTAACCTAACAAATTAACACTATCAAACAAACATCAACCATATCAGCCGGGATTGTGAGTGCAAAATAGTGACCGCCACGGATCAAGTGGCTTTTAGTCAGTAAGAGTCTGACACTCCCTCTCAAGAGAAATCGTTTGATGAAAAAGAAACCGTACAACCTAAAGAATAGATTACAATTCACTTTATACTTACTTGCTAATATGACGATGCAGACAAGTATGGCTACTAAGAAATTGGTATCGATACCAAAGGTGACGGCGGTGAACATGCTGCGTTGGCAACTTGGGTCCGCATTACGATGTAACGACGGCTCTCCTAAGTTGTACATCTAGATGGAAATGAAAATAATCAGAAATATAGTATATATACACTATTATATGGTCTTAGCACACTGTCAAAAAATAAGAACTCGTAGTTCAGTAATTAGTAAAAAAAATTAGGGTGACCATGAATCCTTCACCACTTAGAACATGTTTTTTTTATATCGATATACACCATTAATATTTGTTTCACGTGATACTTTTATTTTTCGTTGTTCCTTGCGGGAATCGAACCCGGAATACGTTACCGTCATCAATAACAAATATTCATGTCACCATCAAATACACATCAAGATATTCCAAAAATATACTTACAAAGTCGTTATATGTGAAGTTACTGATGCATCCTACGAAATTTTGGTTAGTTGGCACGTGTTTCCAACCGAAAGTTCTAGCTAAATGTTGGAGATCTATACTGGCGCCTCCAAGTTGCAGTGGACCGTTTACTGTAGACAAAATTACTGTTATAATATTGGTTCTTAGGCGTAATTTTAATAACGTAATTGGCACATATTGTTTATTGATTTGCCATTAATAATTGTATAATTAAAGAACACCTATTTATCTTTCATTATTTATAAGTTCAACTATGAAACAAATACTCTTATTTTAATTAATTTATAATCATTTTAGCAGGGTCCCTTAAAATTAATCTCAGTTGTAATACAAAACTGCTCGTAATTAAATTAGTACAAATGTAAAAGACTTAAGTATTTAAACTATTAACAAGTTTAACCAACTTACAAAGTTAGGATTTTCTGAATTTAATTTAATTCATGGCAACAATATATTTTAAACTTCGTTTTTAAACTAAATTCGGTAAGCTATAACGAAAAACAATTAAATTCATTATTAAAATTTACTAAAACATGAGTAACTTTTGTAACTTTTAATGTAATTATGAAAACATTAATTACTATTAATGTTCAGTGAATAACAAATTACATTTCGAGGGACCATAGAGTTCTTGGATATTAAATAAACTATTTCAATACATTTTAACTATTCACTGACGTTGGTAATTTAACAAATATATTAATTACAAAAATTATGTTTTTATTTTGTATTTAGAATCAAAATTGTCTATTGGTTGACAATCAACTATAATATTTTATCTGCTAGAAATTGAGATGTTCATATTCTATACAATACAATTTCACAAGGTAAGATTCGTATTATAAAGTAGTACTTATTAACAAATTAACCTAAACACCAAACATAGACATTGACTCAAGGTATAGGCAGAGAAGACCGACAACTTTGCTTATTTCTTCAAAGTTTGTGCTAGTAATAACACAAATTATCAAGTTTCGGAGTGACTTTAGCTGTCTAAGTCTTACGATATATTAACTAAAATTAAAGAAAATTGACTCACCATTTAAAATTTCTCTTGGTCCAGTAGGAGCAGCAAGGCTCATACACGTAGACAATTTACATCTATCCACGAACATTTCAATAGAACTTCTCATGAGAACTATTTCTATCAAATGAGGCTTTCCATCGGCCACGTGGACCACGCTGTTGTTAAGCCTGGTCGTACCAGATCCATAGTTAACGAGGAGTACTGGGAAGCCTTCTACCAGCTCCAAAGACATGAAATCTGTGAACAAAATTATATGGTTATTTTATTGTATTCAATATTTTGTATTTCGTATGGTTTAGTTTTGTTTTTTAATTCAGCAAAACAATTGTTTTACAATGTTAGATGGTATAATTTTAATGCATGTTATTTTAAGTTGTATGTAGGTGCTAAAATAGGTATTGATATCAAAATAATTAATTCTACGTGTTTTGTGGTACCGTCTGTACCAACAGAATGTAAAACCCGTCACAACAATATCTTACTAATAAACTGTTGTTAATTATTATTTCAAACACAACACTAACATATCAAAACACTATTAAATCTATTAATTACGAAATATCAAAACCGGCGAGGATAACAATGAACAATGTTTTACTATGGACTAATCCTCGTATATTAATTATATACAAACTAGGTGTACCAACACAACAAAAATAATAACGTAACAGTCGAAAAGGTATTAAAGGTTCCACCTATCACGCGATGGGTACTTTCATAAATCATAATGTTCTATAGGTAGGTACACGCCTGTCAGTCATTATGGTATCATTAAAAAATCATTACAGAGTTAGCCATTCAAGTGTGGGATGGCAGCGAGGCAATGTATTCCAGTGGATAACTTGTAAATAACAATAGGATATATGAATGACGTAATTGTCAAAAATAAAATACTACATTGTTTACAATGAATGAGCCCTTGAAACTTGATTGATGGATGTGTTGAGTATCGTTATCCACTTGTTTATACCTCTTTACTCCATTTTGCAGCCGATTAACTTTATTTCGCGTCACTTGTATAATCGGTGTAACAATGCTGTTGACATCTTTTACAATTACATTTTTTAATATTTTAAACATGATTAAGTGGTTAGTCCATTCATAATAAAGAATTCGTTCATTTGTTACAATCAACAAAGAATCTTGTTTTGACTTTTCGAATTAAGAGTATATTGTTTCTCGACATAGCAGCAAAATAATTGGTATTATTTCCATTACATAACATAAACAAAAACGGGAATGTCCCACTTCAATAAGAAATCCTGGTCACTCCAACAATGAATGTTAAGTCAAGTAAACTACAAAGACGCACACAAGCAAGCAAGAATGCAAATGCGTCATTCTGATTAGCTGTTTTTGCCGCCATTACAACTTCGAGTCGCCTGATTGGGTACAAAAATAAAGGTACTTTTTCGGTCTGAATGAGGGCCCATTGTGGCGAGGAAATCATTATTCAAGTAGTTACGCCAATCTACAGTGACATGTTCATTGTTGTCGAGACTGTTATGCTTTCAAGTGGAATTCTAGTTAACGATAGTTTAGTGAACTCGTATACTTACCTACCTTGTTGCTCGATAAGCCATGTTCGGAATTTCGATAAAGAGTAATTCTGTGAAACAGTTCGTTACAATTTTATTTCGAGTTCAGCCAAAAATCAAGTTTGCTTTTTTGTAAATATTGTGCTAGATTGTTTATAATACCTATTTTTATGAAAGTTATTGTCTATTAGTAATTTATATTACCTATGTCTAGCTTTTTGTTTTTTTATTACTATGTACATTTACACGAAATCTAATAATGTTTTATACGATAATAAAGTATCTTCATCTACTAATTTTAAATTTCAAATAAAAATATAATATGTTGTAATAAACTTTGTAAGTGCCAATCAGCTAATAGTCATGAACCTTAATAAAAGAAAAGTAATCAAGTTTTTATAGTTTTAAGTAACAATCTTTCTTAATAAAACCTCAAAAAATAAAAACAATCATTTAAATCCCAAAATTGTCATCAATGTTTAGGTAGGTAAATACATTATATTTTATATTTTTGTTTTTTTTCCTCACTAATCTTGCACAAAGGCATCTTGCGGACTCATTTTTAAAACTTCTCTAATCATAATATCATGGAGACTTGCAGCCTAAAACTTCAATTTATTAATAACTAAAGAGTATCTACAATCTAAATGGACACCGCCAATAACCAATCGGAACACATTCAAATAATCCAATGGCAAACTAGTGTTATCACATACAAAAAAGTAGGTATATGATAAGAAAAGAAAAGTTTTAAAGTAATTGACCTAATGCCTTGTTAGTATCTATATTTTACAGTCTTTTTTTCTTTTTTCTTCCACGTTAAGTCGTTCTTTGGCACGTCAGTTGACACAAATTAAGTGGGTCCTTTAACATGGCTCGATGTGGACACAACACTTTGCTAGATTGGCAATTTGGCACTCGTTCGAAAATATTTGCTTTTTACGTTGAAATATATTGAAAATCGCTATTTAAGTACATTGAAATTTTATTGGGTACCGATTCCACTTTTTACTGTTTATTTCATTTTTTATATTATTTTATGATGATATCATTGAAATTGCAGATACTATTGTTTTATTTATTTTCATTTTCATTGTGTAATATAATCATAACTTCATTTTTTATTTTGATATGCATCTTTGTAAATTTATTAAATGGTATTCGATTTCTTGGCATACGCAGTACGTAACTTATACTGTCATTATTACATTAGTAATTATTTCAACATAATCGTCATTCAATCAATAATTTTACACATATGTCACACATGTGTGTCAATCATTAAACACTGTCCTTATTGAAATCCGAAATTATGCGTAACCTTTCAATTTCTAATCCCATTTTAAATTTCAAAATTTTCACGTCACTAGAAACTTAATTCTGCATAACAGTAAACAAATGTATAGAAACTTCCAGTTTTCCTCACTGACTCTTGATTAGTCCCAATATGACAATTATTCTATTGTCAATCACCTCGTACTCAACAGTCCTAAAAACAACGACTCGATCAACAAAACGCTCTACAAAATCTACGGAGACCAAACAAAACATTACAAAAAGATGTAAATCAGCAAAAAAAGGAACGAACGAAGAGAAAATATCATTGAAAATCAATCTCAGGTATTATTGTAATTTGTATCGTTCCAAAGTTGACGTTTGGCGGCCATCTTGAGATTGAAGGAAACAGCGCCATGTTGGTACCGTCGCGTAATTGGATTCCGAGTTTTGGTAGATATTTCATTTTTATTATTATATTCGTTTGTGACCTGGTTATTATCTTCTTTTCTCAATTCAATATAATATGCAATTTGCTTAGGTTTTATAAATGGTTTTATGAGATTAAAATGATTGATATTTTAAGTCCGGACATGTATCTGCTTTTGTCTTGTGAATTGTTTGCCTACTTTACAATAAGTGCCTAGTCAAGTTTGAAAACTTTTTTGATTTATCAAAATTAACAGTTACGAATATTGTAAAAATAATTGTGATTGTGAAGTAAAAGTGTTACGACGTCATTTCTCATGTTTTTTGTGTAGGTACATTAACATAACAGCATTGTGTTTCGCGATGTGAGTGACGTTACAGGAAGCCCATTCCTTCACCTACCTTTATCCTTTCCCAATTTCAAAATATCCGAAACATCCACAAAAGGTAAGTAAAGCTCTCGTAACTCCCCTGGTATTGCTGTTGTCTAAGGGCGGCACCGATTGCTTACCATCAGGTAATCAGAGATAGGAAGAGAGTCACTCCGTTCCAGTCGGCCCATTTGCGCCAACGCTTGACTCTTGCTGACTTAAAAAATAGTCAATCTTTAATAACATAGTACATAATATGTTCCATATTCAAGTATCTCTATTAAATAGCGGTGTTTAGGCATAGTGAAACAGCCATATGAGTAGTTGTGTACCTTTGACGAAATACAAAGGCGTAGGCACAAAACATGGGATGGCATTCAACATCAGGTTGACTTGCTTCGGTTTCGGTTGACAACAAATACTTGAGTGGCGGACAAATATTTATCCCTTAAACATTACGCACAAACAATTGTGGCTTGTGTGTGTGTGTGTGTGTGATGTGTGTGTGATTACCGAACTGTATTTTGTGTGTGCTCAAATGTTTATGTTACGTGAATTGTATGACAATTAATAGGTATTATAAATCGAACGTTTCTTTATTATGGACTAAACCTTTACGCTTTTTTTAGAAAATTGATTTTTGTGATTTTTTTTTCGTGGAAGATGGTTATAAATTAAGTCATTGACTGCAGACGATTATTGTCAAGGGAAAATCGTCCGCTAGTAATCATATCTGCACCAAGCGGACTTAATACCATCTACATTATCATCATACCTCTACAAAAGCATGCGGGCAAAGTTAGAGCTATTTATTAGTCAGGATAAATAAGACATTATTCCGGACGTTTTAGTGCAACTTTTGGCATGTATCGATGTGTGTTCTCAAAAAAAACTTAAACGGTGTCTGTTGTGGCAAATGCAATCTTAAAGTCAAGAAAATAAGGACGATCTTTAATTGATTGAGAGCCAAAATGTTTTTGTAACTAGAAAACCAACTTACCTTGAACTTCCAAAAGTGGATTGTGCTTCAAGGGTCCTAAATAGAAGACGAGGCTGTTACTGGAGTGTGAGGTCACGGTCAAGGTCACGTGACCTTCCTGGCACGCCGGCGGGGATGAGTACATGGCCCAACCGTCTCCATGGAAACCGATTGAAGTTTGCTCGCAATGAGGTCCTGATAGACCTTCGGGACACTCGCACTTATCCGCGAATGGAGTACCTAGGGACAGGAATAAGTTTTGAGTACGCATTAAGATAGAATTAGAGTTGAATAATGCTTAGAATGATGGTGTTTGAAGTCATTTCTGGGTTCAAAGTTCTAAGCAAATATTTTGATGATTTACTTAAGATATACTGACGAGTTCTTAGAATGAGTATTTTGGCTTTTTTGCTTGATTGCACGGTTACTTCTTTGTATGATACCCAAATTGTTGTTCTGGGTCTGAGTGTGACATATACGTTTGTACCTTACGACACAGGAGAAAATCGTAACTTTTGTTTTTACAAATATAAGAAGTATGGCATTGCCATGCATATAGAAGCAGTCGGCCCTCTAATTATTACAATTACGAACATTTTACTTTTAAAATCATTGTACATTTAGACAAATTCTGTCATCATCATCATTATCATCATCATCATCAGCCTATAAGTGCCCACTGCTAAGCAAAAATTTTAAACTTGTAATTAAAAATATATGTCTAGGTTTCCTCACTATGTTTTCTTCACCGTATGTCAGTGGTGTCTAAATAATCCTAGAAAATAGCTACATATAACTCGGAAGTCACATTGGTGTGTTAATAATGATTATCTACAATCAATAAAGATGCTTACCTCCATTCAAGCACACAAGTGGTTCGACCACATCACAAGTGCACTCCGACTCCACCCTCGCAGACACGCCAACAAAACTGGTAGTGTTCGTGTATACTGACAGAGGGACGTTGTTCTTCATCAGCACGTTACGACAGGAATCTTCACATTGCTCTTTCTCAACCAGGCACTCGTCTATTTTCACCATGTAGATCTTTGATTGGAGTTCTTCTTCGAGCTGTGGATGATAATTCGTGTTAAATTGAAGCCTATCTTTGTTGGGTGTAGGTTGATTTTTGTTTGACATTTGAAAAGGTGTGGTTCTTAAATCATACCTTTAATATTCCTGGTTGTGAATGGTTGAATTGTTTCTAATAATTAAGACGTAGTCAAAATTTGTAAGTTTGTAAGTTTTTATGTAGGGGGTAATCTTTGGAACCGTTGGTCGGATTGCCAAAATTCTTTCACTGATAGATAGCTACAATATTCCTGAGTGCTATAAGCTATAAAACATCACGCTACGATTAAATGAAGCCGAGCAGCGGGTGAAACCGCGCGAGAATAGCGAGTCTCAAATACAATATTAAGGGAATCTGATCAATACCCATACGTTTCTAAAATATTAGGATAAATTCGATTGCTTAGTATTGTTAAAACACAAATCAAAACATCCTTAAACAAATTCTTTTAACCCTATTTCTGCTATTCAACATTAAATCCAAAGAACCCCATATAAGGACATAATGGTTAGAACTTGGATCCCGAAGGGTCAAGGTCAACTAAATTAACTTGGAAACTCCCGTCTCAAGTAACTTAGCATTAGACTTGTCCTTAGAAACTTTTTATAAACATTTGTAAGATGGTCACGACAGAACTGATCTAATTGATTATTGATCACAGCTATGCGAATGGAAACTAATGCCACCATAACGAAATTAGGACTTTTTTAGTTTTGAATTTTTTTAACTACAATTTAGTGCATCAATGATGAAGGACTACCTGATATTAAGCTGGTTCTGCGGCTAAGTACATTATCAATAGAATAGGTATCACAAACGCGTTGGCTATGGGGCAAACTGTTTTATTTGGTATTCGATCTAGTCAAATTGCATCTATTTTGACGTACTTATCTACAAATACATTTTATTGGTATTTATAAATTCATTAATTTTCAAAAATAAGTACTTATGCTATTTGATGCAAAAAAACAAGGTACCTAATAATATCACAGAAAACCAAAACTTAAAAACTTGAAAAAATTCACACATTCATTAACACTACAGATTTTTGAAATTCGAACAGAATATTGAGCGTAGCAAATTCCGCCATCTTGGTTTAGGCGAAATAATTAAGAAACGTAATTTTCATAGAGCAAAGTTTTCTGCCAAGTCAGTATACATTTAGCTCCACTAACTAATCAAATTTTGTTAATTTAAGTAATATCTTTACAGGAACAGTGACCACAGTTCCTATAAGCTAAAGGTTATTAGTAAAATGCGTAGCAACTTTAAACTGAATTCTTACTAACATTAGGTAAATATTTACGCTACACATTCTATAGTTTTAATACGGAGAACTTAGAAAACCTAGTGTAAGTGCAAAAATCTTATCTGTAACAAGAAAACTAAAAGAAAAATTCTAAAAAATAAAGTTTAACAAGATGGTACATACCTTTTCTTGTATCCCAATGACCATGCTGTCCAATTTCTCGGGAGGATAATACGGGGACCCGTGTGCAGAAAACCGTACATCCAAGAAAACATCCTTCACCGTATTCTTAGTGAAGACGGTGAAAACATCCACATTGTCCATAGACGTGTTGTACAGTTGCGCTAAACGACGATGTAACTTGTCCTTCTTACTCGTGCCCTGTACAAAAGAGATAGAACATTATTAGGGTTGTCGATGAACTGAATTGTGATGAAGGACGCTGCGGTAGACATTAGTAAAATTCGCTTGAATTATTCTTTTAATCCACTCCTTCTCCTACGATGTTCGTGGGAGCATTTTATCTGGTCAAATTGTGCGGACAAAGAAAAACGCGTAACGAAGGCGAATTTTTTGCAAAAACTGTAGCTTTTTTGGGGGAAAAATGTAAATATAAAGTGCACCAACAGATTGGCAACGATATTTCAGTTTGCGTGTATATTTTCGACGTCAGATTGCATTATCCATCGAACGATCGGTGACGTATATCGAAAACTGGATCGCTTTGTATCAGGGGACATAGTGCCTGGCGATAGATGACTACTTCTAGTAAATCTGATCTCTGTATTTAGAATGGCTCAAAAATCAATTTAAAATAGGTTGAGCCAATTTAGAATTTTTATACTCAAAAACAAATTCATATCGCGAACCAGAAACAGACATCAATCCAAAATAAAATTACCATATCTTAAACGATAACTAATTAAACAATATTTACATCTCAACCCATCTAAAGCTAATTTCTTCAACGAAATATGGCCAATAACTGGCCAAGATACGCAAGTACATACTACACACATACATCACAATGACACTTGAGCTCTAAAACTACGTCCAGACCCAATTGCTCGTTAACCACTAAGTCGTTAACTGGGCTCAATGAATCCCTGGTTGAAACTTTACGTAAGCATAATTTAGGGCAAGGCCAAGAACGGAGATAAAGGAAAAAATGGATGAGGCAGATCTTAAGATGTAATAGGACACATAGAGAAAGATTTGATATTTATATTTCTTCTCCTCAAATAATTATCTTCCGATTTATTTCGTTGACGGGATTCTACGACGGAATTCAGTGTTCCGGTGTTTTCATGGTTATATCTACAGTAGATCCTGGCTTATAGGAGTTGCAGTTTTGGGAGGATGTGGTGGGCTTGTGTCCAATTAAAAAAAAGGACAAATAGAACGCGTTTAAAAATACTACCAATAGGGATAGGTAGTAGTGTCATCTAGGTTTTATAGCAATTTAGGAAGCGTTCGCCAAGTTCGGGAAGTGATTACAAAAACCCGGAGGCATTTAATAGATAACGTATTAGAACTGACGATAAGTTTTTTGGGAATCCAAATACTAAGGTTTTAAATATTCTTATTCATTTCATTCTAAAAACATGTAAATGATATACATAATATGAACTTGGATACAATAGATCCTTTACGCATATCGTTAACCAAACAACTATTCGAAATTCTTAGAACACATTCTATTCTTGCCTTTGGAAAAGCAGTCTTTTCACTCGAGTTTTCCTAGAAGCGTATCAATTTGATTTCATACTCCTACAGGTTTACATTGTTCCTGTGTGTGTAGGCCGATGTATGTAGGATATAAGCTAAATTAAGGGCGGTAAAGATAACAGTATGCAATTTTATATTCCGTCTTTCTCATTTACACTGAACTCCGCTCTTTGTATTATGGGCAGAGTGGGGAGATAGCAATGAATGCTCATTACGATCTCAAAGATAAATTTCGTAGTCGTATTTTTGGCGTGGGATAACGAAATGAATAATTGACGTTCAATGGCTATAATTGTGAGTGACTGGACGGTAATGGGTTTTGCATTCGAATCCCCGATCGTAAAGTAGTAGGAAGTCGGAAGTAGGAAGGTCTAAAATAATGTCAAATACCGATACGTGGGTACAGATTTACCTCGATGAATAATGAAACTGGTTAATGTATGAACATCAATGATTTTATAAATAATAGTCATATGAATCAGTAATCTCATTGTATACAACAAATAGGTACCTTTGCCTGTAGTACTAGAACAAAGACTGTAGTATTCCAGGCTATAATGTCTATGCCAACTTTAATTCACATCCGTGTGGGAGAGCCATGCTTCGGCACGAATGGGTCGGCTCGACCGGAGTGATACCACCACCTCGCAGCGTTGTGTTTCGCCGTGTGAGTGAGGTTACCGGAGGCCCAATCCTTCCCCTCCCCCAATCCCTCCTCAATCCCTAAATCTCCAAATCCCTAATCCCTAAAAGGTCGGCAACGCACTCGTAGCTCCTCCGTTGCGAGTGTCCATGGGCGGCGCTGATTGCTTACCATCAGGTAATTCGTCTGCTCGTTTGCCGACATATTACATAAAAAAAACATCCGTTCAGTAGTGTTTAGAAGAAAGCGTAATCAACATCCAGCCACCCATACTTACAAACTTTCGCCTGTATAATATTAGTGGAAGATTCCTTGTCTTTCACATCGCATTTATTTTCTTAGATCATTATTCAGAGCCTTAAATATCTTCAGTTAGCACAAAAAACATCAGCCTACAGTTTACAAGTTTGAGCGAACATCTTAATTTTGTTGAATATTTTGCAAAAGTCCTGACTCACTATGTTTTAAACTTGGCCAAAATATGCAGATTAAAATTAAGAGACCGTTCGGGACTGTGAGCAAGCATATCTTTGGACTTTGGACCTCATTTTCATTGGCAAACTAAGATTCTTTTTTCTCATTATTAAAAGTAAAACCTTTTAATTTTTCTTTTTAGTAGAACCTATTATCTAGAATTTTAAATGGTTTTTCAGTATTATTTGAATAGGTCCTTTTTAGTTAAGTTTTTTTGTCTATGATTATTTTTAAGGTCTTGTCTCTGTAGGGTTTCTTTCTTTGTCTACTTCGATTAGGTTAGTTATGAAAAGATTCAAGTTTCGAATAAAGTATTTAGAACCTAATTTACGTTGCTTAAAGAATATTTTTTAAAACAGTATGTAGGTACGAATCTATTTTTAAATTAATTTCGGTTTTTACTCTATTCTTCTTTACGTTTTGTTTTAACGTTCGCCACAGAAACCCACAAAGTTCACGTTTAATGTCAAACGCATCGTGGTTTGTATTAAAAAAAGTATTGCAAGCTTACATTAAATTCTTTTAATGTATGATCTCATAAGCCTAGGTAGACACACTAGCTTATTTATAATTTAACGATAACGGTTATAAAACGTTATACCTAAAGTAATTTCTACAAAGTCAAATTCAAAAACAGAATCAGAAAGATTTCATAATTTATTCAATTCATTCATTCAAAGATTTTTGCTCTCCACCCAATGGGGCCGTCCGTTCCAATCCCTAAATACCTGATCCTAAAATCCCTAATAGCCCTAACTAACACCTACGCAAATATAACGTAAGCTGTAATGTTTTATATGTAAATTTTCTAAATAAATAAATCACTCCTTTGGTGTTTCAGATGTCCACAAGCGACGCCGATTGCTTATCATCAGGTGTTCCATCTATAAGCATCCCATAAAAAACACATTTAAATATTTCACTTACATCAGGCTCAGGAACTATAAACTCTTCGGCTGTGATGTTCACGAAACGAATAGACCCTGATTTATCCACTGCCTCCTCTGGTATCTCTTTGATGGTCACATTCACTGTCGCTTCTACCCAGTGGAATGGTACCAGTGGTTCATTTTCTTCTGTCACCTGAAACAAAATAAAACATTTAAATGACACATTGATTGAAAGGTGAATGACCTTTGCGAGCAATACACGATTTTAGAATAGACAGCCAAGGTGGTCTTTTCCTTTTTGAACAGCGTAGTGTTAGTCTTTTCACAAATACGATCGCTAAACGAAGATTTGTATGCTGTGGCATCTGCGAAATCGGAGCGCTATGATTGAGATGTTGCTGTCCCATGACGCGCTATACAAATTCTAGTTAACGCTTACACAAGCGAATCGGTGTTAGAATTTCCACTAGGCACTTTGATAATAACATTTTTATTTGTACCAAAGATACCCTATAAAGGATAATACTAACATTAAAAATTATTAACTTTGCTTTATTAGTTTTAAATAATATTAGCCTCTATATTAGTCTTCTAAGTCAAGTAATTTTTACGACAAGTTTAATAACGTATTAGATTCTCGACCTGTGTCAAGTAATCTTGACCTTTGTGGAAGATGTAATTATTTTTATATAGCAATATACAAATATACCCCTACTAACCATTAATTAAGTTAGCTTCATACTAAATTAAAAACTTCAAGAAATACTAATTGCTTTTACGCTAAATTTAGACGAAATTAAATGACAAAAACGTTGTCAAGTTCCCTTGAATATTTTCGTCTCATAATTTTTTCGCCGAATTAATGCGTAGAATTTTAATTGGCCAATCAGTGTAACGTAAATTCAAGCTATTATTCCGCTAACGAGTCGGCAGAAAACGTAACACAGACATTTTTGTTCAGCTAATTAGGTGTCTTAAAAAACCCATTTCCAAACTTCGAATAACTACTAAGAATATTTTTTCAAACCCGTTAACTAATATTTTGCTCAAAACCTAAGACCGCAAACAAATTATTCAATTTTTAAGCAAATCGATCTTAGTATACAGTAAGCTAAATCAAGTCTGGCAATGTCTGCATCTGCTTACAAAATATAACGAAAAATGTCATAATACTTACATTGAACCTCAACAAATAAGTGCCATTAGGCGTTCCTTCCTTCATGGTGATCATGCCAGTGTTGCTATGGATGTCAAAATATGGACTCCTCTGTTCGTAGGACGGTAGCCACATAAACCTCTTGTCAGCCAAGTCCCAATCATCAGGGTCATCAACGTATACTCGACCAATTTCTGTGTCTGGAGCTTCACCCTGTTAAACAAAACGGTGGTTAGTCAACACTACATCAATAAAACAAATAATGCAAAAACATCAAAATTGGCTACGAAAATTGTATACAAACACGGGGCTGCTCTGCTGTGCACCTAACTTAAAATAAAATAAAAAGACACAAATATTTTATTGACACAAAAACTGTGCACGCCACTGAAAACACTGAACTTTGAAAAACCAAATGACCAAAGAATTAAGATACTCAAATAAGACCACGAGACATCTAAAAGAGAAGTAATAAAAATACAAATAATAAACTTTATCACCAATTAAAGAGAAAAAAAAAACAACTAATTCATTTAAAACTATAGAAATTTCGAAAGTAAATCAGAGTAGCTGTAGATAATTTTGTCAATTTTGTAACTATTTTTTTTTTATTTTAAGACACTAGTGAGCTTTTACTTTTTATTTACGTTGCCATAAACAGTTTCGATTGTTAATTTTGATTGCAATTAATTCACAAAAAAGCTAACCAGTGAAAATTGAATTTGAGTTCACCAAAAATTTGAGGTTATTTTTTAGCTACATTACTTTGATTCGAAGATCAAAAGCTTCAACTTGGCGCTTTGTCCCTTCAAGACCAGTAAAACAACACCCTAAAATACCTTTTTAATATCTAAAAGTTAATTATTTCGATAATGTTTCCAGAATATTCTCTATAACGAAGTATTCATTTACAAATGCCTTTTATAAAACGCTCCCAAAGCGCTTACTTTTAATAATAATGTTCGACGATAGCTAATTAAAAGCAATTTTATTCGGTTCGAGTACGGACCGGTAATTTTCCAATTCATTTGTTAATTACTCAGGACCCGCAAAATGTGAGCCCTTTACTTTACTTGCAGATAACTTAATCATTTAAATGTATAATAAACAGTTCAATTTTTAATTAACTATGCCCGAGACTTTTAAAATTAATCAAGTTTGCGATGGAGACTTTTTACAAAGGTAATCAAATCCTAAGTCCATCGAGTTTCCTTTGTGTTTTTCACGCACTAACGCCAAAATAGCTGAACCGATTTTAATGTAATTTATAGAAAGGGATAAAACATATTTTACTGAATGGTTGATGCGGTGGCTGACCAACCGGCTACAGGGAAAGGTGTCGTGGTTTCGATTCCCGCACGAAACATTTTATTCCTCGTCTGGGTGTGGCATATATAAAATTGTATTTGTGAACTCACCCACGACACAAGATGAACAGTTTTTTATGCACAAAATATATATTATGAACAAAAATAAAACTCGATTTCGAAATAAGGTTTGAATTCATTGGCAATATCTACATTAATTCTTATAACAGGAAAATATCAGGTGTTAATACATAAATTGCTTATCTGGATTAAATTTCAACAATTTCACATGAAAGAAAATTATATTCTTATAAAACTTGAGTGTATCCACAGTATCCACTGTCACTATATTACCTTTCAACGTTAATCCCCACGTTAATTATAAACAACAATTAATTTTCCTTAATAACTGGTTCGTGGTGAAAACCGTTATATGTAAGTAAATATTTAACCAAAATAGTTATTAAAGCGACCCAAAACTGTCGACTTCATTTAACTGGAACTTTAAATTGCAGTTGGTGCAAACTAAGGACCTGCTTCACAATGTCTGAATAGACGTTATGTACCAGATAAATTTGAATATAGAAGGTTATTTATATGAGGTATGTTCCATATAACATTTTTTTCTTTAAGAGGAGAAAATCCGTTTCAATTATTTCTCCCAACCGACCTTGGTTTCGAGTGGGAGTGTCAAACTCTTACTGACTAAAAATACAATAATACAAATTTTTAAATTACGTAACAATATTGGAAAGAGTTTTCATTTCGAATGAAAGCATTATCGTTTCCTCACGTGAATCAACTAAGAAAAGTCTTCTAGTCTCGAGTCACAAGTACTTATTTTTAGTAAATTACTTACATATTAACTAGTATGATGTTATTTTTGTTTAATAATTTAGGCCAGGTTGTCCTTGCTTAGTCTTACATTATGAAATAAGATAATTAGTTATAATTATATCCATTGAATTAATTTTTTGCATTGATAGCCTGAAACACAGGTTTAAATAAACCTAGTTCGGGTAGTCCCTAATATTTAGACTTAGAACGTTATTTCCTCACATATAGTATGTATTGTATTAGACTAGATTAAGTTAACTATTACGATTGTTATTATTAAGACTTTTTATTACTATAAAATCTGAGCCACCTGTAATTGTAAACGTGTTCTATGTTTTAATAAAATTTATTTATTTATTTACAACGGGACTCTTATTCATGTATACGCCGATAAGTTTTATCAGTTAATACACGTAAATAAGTCCATATTTTTATCAACCCTTGCATAATAATAGCTGACGATACTTACTCTACAGTAATATACCTAATTATATTTTGGAATGAATTTCTCTGTATTCAAAAGTCTAAATTTTTCATTTTAACTAGGAAACTGCATTACATCCTTATTTTTATAGTGTTTATTATAGATATTGATTATCTCAAAAAGGGTAAGGAAGGAAGGTAAAATATAATAGAATTTAAAAATAATATACTTATACGAAAGTAGATAGAGAAGATACGGAGCATTTTCCGTGTATTAATTACTCCAAAAATAGGACTGTTACGTATCCATGCCTACTATAGTATCTATTGACGTATAGATTTAGGCTTCTAAATTTAAAAATTCTTTTTATTTACGGTGATTTTCAAATGATGTATATTTGTCGACAGTCTAGGCATCTATTACAAAAAGAATACGTAATATCATCCAAACAGAAGTGGGTGTATTAATCTTACCTAAACCTACCTACGCTTTCGAGGCAAAATCATGATAAATGCATTACGTAATAATAGGTCCTTTTCTTATACTAGAAATAAGAAGAAGCTTAAGAGTTTTATCAGCCATTTTCATATAATAGGTAAGCTATAAACCTATTTGGCATATACTTTATACAATTACGTTCTATATTCTTTATATGGTACATAGAAACTATGGGCATAGTGAAACAGGCCTTATTGCGGACTAAAATCTGTCTCTATGACTCTTAACACTCAGATTTGTTAAGCAGTTTATACGTTGAGATGTGACAAACATACAAACGTAGTACGCGCATACTTACAAACGTACGCATTTTCTATACCTATTAATTCGTCAAACGTCAAGCGAACGCCGGCGTTCGCACCTGTTGTCTTACTATTGTGTCTCGAATAACCACAATTGAAAGGTTAATAGTTAATTTTTTAAAGTTAAATAGTAACAAATCAATAATGGCGAAGCGGGCTATTATAAAAGTTTGTGTGTGGGAGTTTTGGTCAATCCCTGGTTTATAAGGGACTGACGTAAGCTGATCGTTAAACGAACACGAGACAAAGGCCCGTTTGTAATCGACTGGTCAGCTACTCGACTAGACTGTAACACTGGACGAGTTACGGAAAAAGTATTATAGTGAAAACTGTGTTTCTTTATTGTGATGTAAGTACTACGCAAGTCTACAAAAATAGTCCCGTTTTAACTTTTTTAAAAGCACTCAGACAACAAATTTTATTTACACAACAATCTGTCCTAATCTTTAAAACATAACGTTCACAAAGCAACGAAAGATTACTTTTACAATGTTAACTCGACTAAACTACGCCAGTAAAATATAATTTACACAAGCAAAACTAGAAACTTGCTTCAAAAGTTTACTAAAGCTAAATATTTTTAATCAACATTCAAGTAACTGGGTTCCAGTAGTGACACACGTACTGAATGGAGCATGAGCGTGTTTGTGGCAAGTCGCCTTCATTAAGCTGGGAGTTTTAAATGAATCTTGCTTGATTCACACAGATTGCGCGTACAACGTTCAGCTCGCATGGAGATTCCCCTATTTTTTTCCTTTTACTTTTTGTCTATTTAAATATGTAGCACCTACATACGTATGTAGAAGTTAATTCGTATATTTGCAAAGTACTTTTTGAGAGCAAGTTGTAAAAGTTGTTTTACGTTATTTTGTTGTAGGTAAATGGTTTGTGTTTATTTTCAAATTAGGTACATAAACGTTTTAAGCTGAATTATTCAGATTTATTTGTTAAACAAAGGGAAGATATTCACGTATATATTTTGATTTAGTTTTGATCACGATAATATAAATCGTCTGATCAGGATTATAAAAGCTTATACCTTATTAGACAACAAATAAGAAACCTAAGGAAGGATATTATAATCCACTTTACAAAAAAGGAAGAAACACAAAGACTGTATATAAATTTAAAACAAAAGGCGCCTTAAAATTAAGAAAAAAAAGGGCATAAAGCACCACATATACAATTTCAAAAGAGGATTGATGTATTCTTAAGTTTAAAAAGGGAACCTGAGTGGGCTACTCTTAGATCAAACGGACACTCAAGTAACGGTCTGCTAATGGTCTCCCGATCACTTTATATATTAAACCCTCATTTAAATATCTTGACACACTTCTAGACCCTCATTCAAAGTTAAAACGTCAGCTCGATGCCACATCCAGCATGCACGTAAAGAAAATCAGGGCACAGCCGTAAAAATGTGCCTTCATCCACATAATCCGACTTTATAGATATAGAACCCATACTAAACTGAGTTTCATTAAGGCGGAATATTAACATTTTAACAGCCATATATTATTATAAAACAGGTACATAACCGTTAATGTTTATAGGTTGTGTTGAATCTGTGGACTTGATAATTCATTTTAGGGGAAACCGCTGAGTTAAAGGTAAACACAGGTACGTAAGGGTTAGCGCGTGGGTGTCTGTATCTTAAACGGTTGGACCTTCATTTCAAGATAGGTCTATTAAACGAGGTTTTATTTAAGGAGACGAAGATATCGGTAATATTGTTGGCTGGCTGGCTCGTGGGTTATCGTACCGTCCTTTTTGTGTAAGACATTTTTATCCGTTTGCGGTTGTTTTAGGGTTGTGCGGTCTAGGAGATATTAACGGATTAGTGGTTGTTAAGACAACTACAAGGGATTATGTGTTTTAAGTGTTAACGTCTAGGTATTATCTGGTATTACAACTATTAACAGAGCCTAATTTGGAACTACAGTGAGTATATGACAGTGCTTTGTGCGTAGCTTCTGAGAAAATCCTACCAAATTATGAACGTAATAGTTTGTATGTATACGGATGTTTATTTATAACTCGTTTACGATAATACTACTGAATGGATTTCTATAGAAATCGACACACAGATAGGTTATAGTCTGGAATAACACATAACCTAATTTTTGATCGGGTAACATGGGCGACACCGATTGCTTGGCATAAGGCCCGTCAGAAGATTCATCTAACACTTTGCTGCCCAATTCCATTAATATAAAATAAAACGGCATTATTATCGAAAAGTCTAAGTTGTTATACTAGCACAGAATACAAATTGTATGAAGAAACAAATATTTCAGGAATCGTTTAACAAATAAAGGTGCTACTGAAATTGGGCAAAGAGAATTATGTTGGAACGTGATTATTTTCTCTGTTTATATTCTACACAATAACATTAAACAGAGTTTTATATGCTATAGAGCGGGAAGTGATTATAAGAACAAGTTTTTTAATTAAAGACGATGTTTTACTTCATTTTTTAGTAGACGGTTGTTTGCTTGATGAAAATAACCCGCTGGTAATCACTTATATTTTTTTTTTGAAGGGGAAAATCATCAAATGGTCTTCTCTCGGATGGGGTGACAGGTAGTGTCAAACTTTTACTGGCTAAAATCTACTCAATCGGTTGCCGTGGAGTGCGGTGTAAAAATCATATACTTAGGTACTATTATTGTTAGTCTTAACAAAAATTTTTAGGTATCCATACCTACTAACAGCCATGCTCAAGAACATATGACTACTCTAATCGTTGCTAAATAAGTTTACGCAAACATAAAATGTCTCTTGAAACTTAGTAATGGTCGATGGAAAGACCGTAAAGACCACATTCGTAACAACAGCGCCATCTATAGTAATTTACCCCATCAACTAAGTCTTCATCGCCGTAACTCCGTTCTCCGATGTCTCGATATCGTACGTAACCATAAATTCTAAACGAACTATATCGAAATTGGTGCTAAAATCGATGCGTTATATAAATTAATCGAATTATCCGCCAGCCAATTGAAATCATATTGTTATTATGCGTCACTTAACGGCTGGCCCGTTAATTGGATTTGCCAATAATCATCGCGGAACAGTCGGTTTGGCACATAGTTAATTAATTATAAATCATAATTGACAAAATATGTTCTCGATAGTTGAATCGATTTGAATGTGTCCAGATAATGAATTCGTTTTCAATTACGATTCGATTCTATTGTGTTGAAATTAATTATCAATATTATTTTATCAGACCCCCAGTCCCTAAATTTTATACTACTCTGTTACGAAGACGTGCTTAATTAATTCAATATTTATATCCAGTGATAAAAAAATCTCAATAACCTAGGAAACATTTCAAAAAGAGAAATAAAACAATAAAAAAAAAACAAAAAAGAAAAGAACTGTATCCCAGAACAAATACCATCCAATACAATTCGACAGTAAGTGTAGAAGAAAACAAAACGTCAAGCAAAGAAAACACAAATAATTAAGAACTATAATGCCAATTTTATACTCACATAATACCGCCAACTGTATAAAATCTCATTGAAGTACGTTTCCGGCTGATAGCATTAGAGAAAACAATTTTGTTAATTATATTCATCAAGATAGATAGAAACATGCACAAGAAAAAATATCTAGGTGTCCAAGTGAGAAATAACTAAACGAAAAGAAAAAAAACTACAACAAAAAAAGAACTACAAATTCGAACGTTCCATATTCGGAATTCATAAAATTGAAATAAAAAAAAGAGGAATGGCGCTAACAATACAAGCTTTCTAATTTCAAATCTCTATTTTTAACAATAAATTCTATGCAGGGTGACAATCTCGATGTAAAATAAATTCAATATTTTTTTAACACCGAGAATGTCAGCTTTCTAACTGTACTGGATGGTCGAATTTAGTAAAAAAAATATGTATATTTTAATAAAAACTTTACGCTAAATTAAACGTAACCAGGAAACTAGGTGACCGATATTAAAAGGTCTACTTGGAGGCTCAAAGGAAATATGTGATGGTCCCTGAAGGGATCAGACATTTTTTTTGGCCTTTGTAGGGCCACTTTATTCGGAATGTAATTGGCCTTTAAATATGTAGGTAAATATCAAAAGCCTTTACATTTTCCCGCTGTATTTACTATTTCTAATAGAAATATGATATTAACATTGCCGGCGGCAGATGCGAAGGTTGGGAAACTAAAAATCGACGATGAAAATAAAAACATTACGTAAACATTAGAAATTTCAAATAACGAAATAGAATTAAGTCAAAAAATAAAACCTAAGAACAGCTTATTTGAATTACGAAGCAATAAAAAAATAGGGGTCAACCAAAAAGGTTTTAACATAAAAAAGGCACATACCTTGTAATTGTAAACAAAGATGTCGCTATGCCCTGGTGCCATGGGGTTGTCGTTTTTATCTCCAATCACTACATGAAGGATGGAAACACCCGTCAGTCGAGGAGTGCCAGAGTCGGTGATGGCTACTGGAATCTTGTATTCTTTGCGCTGTTCACGGTCAAAAGACACGAGGGTCGATAGGATGTTGCCTGTGGGAAAAAATGGCGTGTTAATAATAATTGCTATATATGAGAATTATATCTCAATAAATATAAACCTTTTAGGGCTTCGTTTATGCAGACCCGAGGCGTCGATCCGCGCGTGACATTAATTACGAGTTACGTTAACATGATGTAACTTTTTCAATCAAACATTCATCATCATTTTTTTAAACTGACTTGAAAACTACTCCTAATAACTGACAAAACAGAAGCCATTTTGCAATTGAAATCTAAATCATTTAAAACATTACTCTTGAAGCAACCTAATAACGTCATCGTCGATATTTCTTTTTGACATTCTCCCACTACAGTAAATCAATTGTCGATGATATGTAGTCTATAAAGCTGACAACTACTTGATGATTTACATCTTCCATTGATCAACTGCAATAGATCGACCTAGTTACATTATTAGACCGAGACTGTCTCACTACAATTAGGTATAGGTACTTCACTTAGTTAAAAATAAATGCTTTTAAATATAAAACTTATTGAGAGAGTATGGAACTATTACCTATGTCATTTGACGTACTAAAAAAATTATGACATTATAGTTTTTGACATTTCAATAAAAGTATTGAATTTGACTTGTCGGAAACTAACGTATAAATACAACCTATAGTTGTTCGTAATTTAGTACGAAAAAGTCCAGAAAGCTGTTCATTACCGAGGCTAAAAGTAGCGTGTCTGTTCGAGCTGAAATAATATCTTTGAGAACCAATTAAACTTTATTTTCTACAAACTTATAATTGAGTGAAATAAACTTTGTAAGTTGTTTCATTTTAATGTCAAGATTAGTTGCCACGTGACACTGGGAACGTACGTGGAACCTAACGCGACCTACTTCTTCAGTTAAAGACGTAACATATAACACAGTTTATTTATACTTATTTGCTTAATAGAAATCTAATGCTCTAAAACCTAAATAATTTAAAGCAATGACATGACTAAGTGGCTATTCGCGTTCTATTATTATAGAAAAAAACACTAATGAGGACACGCGCCGTCTATATTATTGTTACTTGATATAAAATGTGTATTTATGTAGACAAACAATCAAACAAAGAGCTAGGTTTTATCGAAATTACTAAACAATACATAATTTTCCCGTCGTCGTGTGTCACTCAATAATTTACGACTTAGTTAATCCAACTTGGTCGACAATAATATAAGTAAATGACTAGGTACAAACTATTTTTTGTGTACATAAAACAAAACTGTTCTTTCAGCGCCACTATCAACAAAAACAATCAACTAACTACAAAAAGTTCGACAGTTGAACGAACTAAAAAGCAAATCTTTCACTGAATAGAGAGAATATACAAAATTATAAACACGCCAACCCAAATGGAGAGGACCAAAATTGAATTGGCACTTCGCAAACAAAGTTAGACTTAGGCTTGGCACGCCATTTATTGCATGTTAACTACACTAATTGATCGAAACTCGATTTTGGGCGACTCTCGGAAAATTTCTAGCGCTCGCGAATGGGTGCCGCTGAATTGAAATGGAATTGCTCCAAAGACGAATCGGGGAAGTTTCCCGTCAGTACCTAGCTACGAGTTTAGTGGAATTTGTGTCAATTGCTCCATTGTGGGAGGTCGGAGTCGAAACATATTTTTGGAATTTCTGAGAATGATTTTGCTCGTACATTTTCGCACTACGATAGATCTTGGCTGAAAATGTTTTCGATCAAATCTAGGCAGATTTGGAACCCGATAAAACTCAGTCTGTGAATACATTGTAGGCACAATCAATGCTCTTAATGAGTATTGAAAACTTCGACAATTTTTGTCAACAAATGACAATCAAGCTATTGATACATCAAAATACGTATTAAGTTCGTCTTCGACAGTAAATCTAAAATAAATACATGTTGTACACGAAAACAGTACTTATAGCTATAGCTATAAAAGCTAGCTATCAAATATTTGAGGTGTGGGCAAATCAGTACTTTTGACAGCCACTCCTAAGTGAACGAGACAAATATACACAAAGGAGTGACAGAGACAGTGTTTCAGGGGAACTTGATTTAGGTCGATCTAATATTTTTTAGACTTACCTTGTATATGGAATTTGGAGCGAATATCAAATGACGCGGATTCGTTTAGGGCGAAGGTGAAAGGTGGGCCATTTTCTGCTGAGTCGTAGTCTTTGGCAGTCAGGATCACAACCTGGCCTGGGGGCTCGTTCTCGTACCATATAACGGGCTGTGTCTGTTGGGAAAATATTGTAGTAGTTGTTAGTAAACATAGATGTAAATTGTTAATAAATCTTTATATATAAAAATGGATCGCAAAATGCGTTGGTAAGCGCATAACTCAACAACGCCTGGACCAATTTTGCTAATTCTTTTTTTGTTGTGTTTGTTATTGTCAGGAGAAGGTTCTTATCAAAGAATAAATTAGTAAAGTAGAGGGGAAGATTAGGAAAAAGTGACTCTTTAAAAGAGAGATAGTTGGACCCGTGCGAAGCGGGGGCGGGCCACTAGTATAATATAAAGAAGTATATTTATTAATATTGCAGTTTAGATTTCTTTTTCAGATTATATTTTTTTTGGAATTTGTTTACCGTAGATAAGTTTTTCTAAATGATTTTTCTGTCGAAAATTACCTAGAAAGTTTCGAACAGTGAGTGCCACGTAAAACAATCCTTATATAATTTCATAGCAAAAAATAATCTCCGAAAAATTAAGCAATCCTTCATATAACTTTGGTCATATCACACGGCTATTATGTATGTATTTATGCATAATATGGCAAAAAATACTTCCGATATCCCAATGAACCCAGCGAATATTAAACAGGAGAATAAATTTTCTTACATTATTCCTTGCGGCTTAAGATATTGTATTAGAAAACGCAATGTAATGCCAGAATACCGAAAAAGGTACTTCAAAATACGAGGTAACTTCAGTACTAAGCTTTACGAAGGAAATATAATACTATTATTATGAATATCGGTCTCGCGTTTCGGGTTTTTGGCCGAAATATTCATTGTATAGAACGGCGAACCATATTTTCTAACGAAAATCGGTTGGTTAAATAAAACGTAGAGCGAAAAATCTTTTAAAAAATATTATTCGAGTTACAGCTAAAATACTGTCGTGTAGACTAAAAATAATAGCAATATTATATAATACCTAATGACAGGATATTACAAAACATGCATAATCAAAATAAAAACCCAAATGGGTACCTAAATAAAATTCCGATTTATTCATTTTAAAACAACTGATGTCCACATCTAAATAAAAACCTTTTTCGTAAAAAAGTCAACGATTCGAACTGTCACATGGCCATCTCAGCCGTCCAAAGCTCTCCTGAGGACCATTTGGATCTCCGAAATGGAAATTAAACCAACCCTTCTTGGATTATAGGACCAAAGGATCGCTATCCAAAATAAGAAATTGAACACCCATAGGTAGTAGCAGATTTGCATAAAAAATTGACAACTCGACTTGCCCATTGCGAGTTTGTATTTAAGCGGAAAGAAGGAAAAGAGCACGTTTTTCTCTTTATTTTTTTGCTTTCTGTAGTAAATTTCGAAAATGGGTTTTTAAAGTATCTACATACCTAGTTTTTAACGAATATTTTTATCATGTGTTCGTAAAAAATAACGTTTTCCCGTTCCATCGTGATTACGATCTTTAATACGATTTTGATAGGAAGTTTATTTTCTATCAAAATCTCCCCAATTTGTTTTTAATTTTAGGGTTTGTTCCTATGTCGAGGGCTATAAACATTCAATTTTACAATGGCTTTTTCAACTTAATAATTGAAAAATTTAAATGAAACTCTTTCAGGTATTAACTATTTTACTTTACGGCTCATTCATGAAATTATTTGACGGGTAACACGACTAGTTTCAAGCTACGCTAGGGGCTTATATTAATGAGCAGTATTGCGCAACACACGACGACGTGGCGAACGACGCGCGTTTAACTAGTATAGTTCTAGGTATATTAAAAATGAGTTTAAAATACGATAAAAAGACAGAGATTCAATAAAAAGCGTACTAAATTAATTTTATTACAATATCAAATATACCATTTCTATATAATTAAAAAAGAGCTTCATATCAGACTCAATTTGTAAAAGATATTAAAATCGATTAAAAAAGAATGACAGAATATTACTCGAAGAAGGTTTTTACAAAAGATAATTTGGCGAAGGTAAATTAAAATTAAACTGATAAAAGTTGTGTGTTAATTGAATTTCTTTCAGTTTTATTGAGTGCCCATAATCCGATAAAAAATCGTTTACGAAAAGTTTCAATCTCTTCTTTGGTCTTATTTAAAAAGTAATACCTTTTTGCTGGCGAGTATTTTAACTACACCTACCCGATTTACTTCATCCTACACGTTAAATAGACTATCATTTACAGGTAGATAAATAGCCAAAGGCTACTAGATTCAGGTTCATCAAAATGCTATCAACGCTCAGTCAATATTTTCATACATATCCCATACAAAAAGTAGACGAACGTCCGCGGGAATATAAACACTACATTCTTACCCCCATCAAAAGCTACTATACGACAGACATACAAACACACAAGATAGAAAAATGCGGCAAATTTACATAATATAATGTAACGGGCCGTTTACGAAGGTAGCTGTGCTCTACCTAGCTGATTTATTGGCAATATGGAAAAGGTTCTTTTACGAAATGAAAATAAGAACATATATTCTTAGTTGCTTTATATAATAATTGATATTTTCGTGGCCCTTGGGTACGGATGTCCTTTTTGGTCCTTAGAGCTTATTTTTGGGTGGTGGCCAAGGCTAGATTAACTCTTTATAGAGGAGGGTCTTGTAGACTTTATACAGAATAATGTATCAGTATGCCTGAAAAGTTGAAAGGAAAGCATCTACGCCTACCGTAAAGTTACATTAGCACACCAAAATGGCTACAAATTTTACAAAAAGGAAAAATAATCTTCAGCTTCTAACTTATTCTTAACGCCTACAAAAATCACACCACAAACGAGAAGCCATCTTTCCGAAAATCTCCCCTAAATTAGCCAAATTAATCTTCCACACAACTCCATTGTACAAAATCACAAAGAGACACAAGAATCACCCGACTTAACATTCCCTAAGCCATAGATAATGCTTAGTAAGGTGACGTTATCGCGAAATGAATAAACGCTGACAGAAACGAACCACAGATTCTTTGAGCAAACGATCCTGCGTCGCCAGATAACATTGGAAGTTAATCCGGCATTCGTTGCCGATCAGCCGGACCGGATGGCCGCATTCAAAATAAGCTGCCGTCGCTCCCGGTTTTAGCTAGAATATGGATATGAGGGCTAGAACGCTTCTGTTTAATTCAACGGTCGTAAAACGGTTCCATTTTGGATTTTTAAATGAGTTATGGGTTTGGATTATCTTTCGATAGAGGATTAAGCGCTAAAGTTCAAGCTGAATGGTACAACGATACTGCAGAAAAGTTGAAGCATTTCACACTGAATAGTACTTTTTATTAATAAAACTATCAATACTTTTGAAATTCTTTAAAGAAAAATTCAAACATATTTTTTTACTTGCTTCTTAAACTTTAGCGGCTGTATTTGTATCAATATTAATCACCTCTACTTCTAATTCTAATTTACCATCAAAACACTAGTGCCATAGCCGGGGTGGCGGATGCAAGTGCACTAATGAACCTTTTAGTCAGTAAGAGTCTGACATTTGCTCCTAAAAAGAATTCGATGATTTTCGCATAGTACCAAATGTTAGTTTATCAAACCCCAATCTAACGCCGGCGTTCGCACACGCCGATACCACGATTGAAACTAGATAGGACTTTAGCACAAGCAGTTCTTCAGACCTCGTAAGTCATAGACACGCACCATCATAAAGCAGGAACAATATTGTTAACGTTGCAAGTTTGATATACGAATGATTATTCCTCCCCTTAGGGAACATGATATTAATCATACATAAGCCTAAACAAATGTCGTCCCATCCTACACAAACACATTTCTAAAGGAATCTAGCTCAAACGAAGAAGATTTATGCCAAGATAAATCTCAAGATAGTAATTGTTGAATGTTAGGAGAAAGGCACGGTAATGCTATGAAATAGGACAGTTTTTGGGAACGAAATTGGTGTCATTATTCAGCAATTTCGATAAAAAATAATGAAAATAGGTAGGTAATGTTCTTAGCGAATCTTTAGGTTATATTGGGTTCTTATTAAATTGTATAAAATGTTTTAAAGAGTATCGTTTTTGACATTTGGATAAAAGTATGGAATTTGACTAGTTGGAAACCACCATATTGTAACTAAATAACTTTTTCAATTTACTTAATTCATAATCATACATAATAAAGTAAGTTGTACGAATGTGTGTTACGCTTGCACGTAGAAACTACTGAACGTATCTGAATGAAATTTTGTATAGGGATAGATTACAGTCTGCAATAACACATATAACAAGAACTCCTTTTCAATGAAAAGTAATGAAATAAAGTTCCTTATGTTTATTGCAGATATATTTATCTAAGTGCAGTATATAATCCTTCTATAATGACCGCAATAATAGTTTTATCTAATCTCCAGCCAGCGGTAATGCAACAATTTAACGATAGCTATCTTTTAAAATGTCCGGTGAAATATTAGCACCACTTACTAGTGAGTTACGGTTTCATTAAACTTTGAAATAACTTAAATTCTAATAGATACTTCAGTTGTAATTATTGGGAAGATATTTAACCGTAGCTATAAAGTTTAGGTCTCAGTCTAGACTGAATGAATGGGACATGTATATGGGCTATTTACCAGAAAACGTTTATTACGTGCTAAAGAAACACACTCAGTTTAAAACCTGTAAAGTTTAAACATGTAGGTAGTTCTAGGTAACTACTTAAAAGCAGTTAAACAACCTCTTTGGTCAAACGTAATTATCATTGTCTATGGAAATTTTATCACAGACAACAAAAATGTTCTTACATGCCAAGTAACATTTGACATTTAATATTTGACCTACGTATTGAAAAAGGTTAGGATTGATATTCCCGGAATATATACGTTATACCTAGATGTAATTCACGTAAATATTATAAGGAAAACGCGTCAAGTCCCCTTAAGCATTATTATGTATTGTTTCAACGTCCAATATGATAGATAGTTGGTTCTTCCACTTGTCTATGCATACTCTATCAACCGCGCCATCAATCATCCGATCAGGGTAGGCATAATGAAATATGCTGGAAGACTATTACGTTTATTCAGACGGTCATTGTACTTATTTATTATCTGAGCTAATATTTTTAAGAAATAATATAGCTTATATAAAAATAAACTTGGTTTCTCGTTTTCTGTACAAATACTGTTTGTTTCAATAAGAATTCCTGGTAATAATTAAATAGTACATATTTAATTGGTTCAAGAGTTCCCCTATTTGTATTAAATAAACAAACTTTTATTTACAATTAGTTGACCCGAAAATTATGTTGAGCCTTTTCAATATAAAAAAATATTATACGTATAGGTACTTGAATTCCTCGAAAATGTATAAATTGATCCGGCTGTGAGGGCCGTCTGTTTATTATACCAGATTAAATATTATTACAGAGATCCAAACTGCAATATAAAAACGAATAAATATACAAAATTAAAGAAAAATACTTACATTAGTCAAAAACGGTGCATTGTCATTAATATCTGTGAGTTCCAATATGACTTCGGTCGTTGACCTCAAGCTGTCAGAACCCAATCTCCCGCCATGATCGGCCGCCATGATTAAAATCTGCCATCTTGTAAAACCTAGCGGTTGGTCGCGGTCTAAAGGCTTGGTGAGGCGAAGACAACCATCATTGTCGATTTGAAGAAATTCTTTTTGTTCATGTTTTACTAAGGAGTAGACGATGTTTTGAGGGGCATTCCTGTCTTTAATGTCAGGGTCGTATGCTTCCACCTGGTGAGATTAAAATTTAATTAGCAACCTAAAAAAATAGCGTTGTGGGTCCATTTGACTAACGTTTTTCAGACGAAACTGGTTTTTGAGACACGGCTTTTATTCTGTCGAACTTCAGATAGGGAGCTGTTTTTTTAGATCTTTAATAACTTAAAACAACCATGAACCCAGGAAACCTTAGCCAGCTGGACAATAGTCTATTAGTTGGTCTACCACATTGAGACCTTTAATGTGCTGTATCCATATCTCAAGAGAAGGACCCACACGGAAGTTTCATTTAAATAAAAATAAGTACTCAAAATCCCTTACCTTCACAATACACCCTTCATAGAGTTTCTCTTCTTCAATAGTCTTAGTGTAATTAGCCAAAAACACAGGCGGGTTATCGTTCAAATTTTCAATATTGATGATGACTTTGGCGTAATCTTCGTATATACCGTCAAAAGCCCTTACATCTAGGCTGTAACTTGTGATATTCTCATAGTCCAACTCGTTGTTCACTCTTATTTCACCAGTAAAGTTTCGAATGACGAAAGCATCGTACGTATTGCCGGCCACAATGCTGTATGTTACCACGGATGCTGTAAAAGTTAAGTGTTTTTGTAGTTACTAGCGGCCAGTCTCTTTATACACGGGTAAGAAAGAAAAGAAAGAAAGAAAACTGCGTTTATTCGGCATCAGACTCAATTTAGACTTATTTTTTATATTTCTGCCAATAAATATGACTGAAAAATGAACTGATTGTAAAATAGTAACTATGGATTTTCTTGTTCATTCTTCTCCATAGATACTTATGTGTGTTGAAACGAGTCGACCGACTGACATTTATTAACATTATTCATCTTATATTTAGTTATTATATTATTTCACGTCCAAAAATACATTAAATGGTAATAAAACCAATTTTAACATTGAAATTAATGATTTTACTTTGAGTTTGACTTGTGTTACTAAGGATGAATGTAGCCTTTCAATTGTGAAAGCTTATTTGAAATCGGCATAGTACTTTCTGAGTTTATTCTTTACAAACATACATATAAGTAACCCACTATACACCGGAAGAGTTACAAGAGATTTAACATTTAATTTGAAGTTAAAACTATAGTTTATTCACAATATTGGCCATGTATAGTGCTTCGTGGTAATAATATTATAGTATGCGAAAAATTATGAACAATTAACGCGTTTTAAGTTAAAACCATGTAGAATTTCACGTTCATCAGTAACTCAGTTAAAAATGTTTTAACAATTTTTAAATAAAATTGCGAGTTGAACAATGAAATCGATAAAATTAATACTCAAACAGTTAAATGTAAAGAGCAAATGAATACAATGAAGATTCAAAGACTTGGTCAATTCATTTTAAATTAATTCCTTTTTAAAATGATGTTGCAATAAACTACGATATAAATTAAAATTAATATAAATGAATTCAATAAAAATATAGCAAAAAAATTTGAGAGCTTTCGTCCATATCAATAAAATTGATATACATATATATTTTTAAAAAGGACGTTGCGTTTTTTGTAAGGGGAAAATCATCAAATGACTTCTCACTTCCAAACTGGGGGAGAAGAAATGTCAGACTCTTTCTAACTAAAAATCCCCCACTCTTTCTGGTCTATTTATTAGAAAAAAAGTTCAATCTTTATAATAATAGATAGTAATTTTATTGAAAAGATCGCCAATTTTTTCTCCTCCCCAATCCCTAAATCTTTGAAACCCTAATCAGAGTTGCGGGTGTCTATGGGTGGCACCGATTGCTTACCATCAGGTAATCCGTCATATAACATAAAAATACATAATATATGTACTTATAAAATTCTATAACTCACCAGTATCAATATCCAAAGCGCTGACAACGGTAACTAGCTCATTAATATTAGCATTCTCAGCTATGGACTCAGCGACGTACGTATCTTGCGTAAAATGAGGCGGATTGTCATTCTTATCGGCTATTTCAATCAGGAACACTTGCTGACCAGCATTATGCTTGCCAGGTATCAGAGCAGACTCAGAGTTGTCAGTTGCAATAATCTTAATGTTATAAAAACTCCTTTCTTCTCTGTCAAACATTTTTAAAGTTGTAATGTTGCCAGTTATACTGTCTATAGCGAATGGGTCGGATGGGTCGCCGAGTTCGTATGTTATCTGGTTGTTGGCTGATGTTCCATCTGCATCGAAGGCTCGGACCTGCATCACTGGTGTGCCTGGGTTCTCGTTTTCTAAGACGCTACCTGATCTAATTTCACTGAAGATTGGGATATTGTCGTTCACATCTTCAACTTCGATTTGGATTATCGTTTCTGCTGCTAATTTGTAATTGTTCTGTGGAAAATTGAGGCTTATTAGTCCATTTTGTATCGATGTTTAATTGTAACAATTGTTTGGTTGTGGATTTTGAATGTTTACATATCTTGTTAAAACAAATTCCAATGTTTAAATAAACATTTGTAAAGTTGAATAAACAAAATTAACCTGCTATTAAATACTATCAGAGTTTGTAGAGATACATATTATTAATTTTTATTCAGAGCTTCGTATGAATAAAACAATAAGATTTTTTATGTCATACCTGTATTCGCACAGTCAGGGTGTAATCAGTAATTTTCTCATAATCCAAATGGTTTCCAAGCTTGATGTAGGCGGAGTCAGCTTCAGGCTCCAACACGAAGGTGTGCCATTTGTTCGTCTGTTCTGTCTGACCTTGCACCAGCTCGAATTGGAGCTTCTTCTCCTCGGGTATGTTTGAGCTGCAAAGAAATTTTATGTTTTAAACATACTACTTCATAGTAACACTTACATTTTATGAGCCCAGATTTAACGAGTGCTAGGTATGGGCCTCCATTTAGGTAGGTACCTACTCTTCAAATGCCTAGTGCTAGTTTGCTTTACGTTGACACCATCGATCGTGTGACGTTGCGAGCCCTGATTGGATAGCTCAACGCTAACCAACCAATCAGTTGGCTATACACGGTAACGTTTCGATTGTGTTAAAAATAAATCGCACTCAGAATTCTGATCTTATAGAATGATTTAAATTTGAATCAAAAACTAAAAAATTCCTCATTCACTCGTAACGATCTTTTTTGCCCATTCAAAACTCACTTGAAACACTCAAAGCATTAGGTATAATTTCGATCAAATGACATAGAAAGGGAACATTATAAACTCATAGTAAAGTTCTATGTGACAAATAAAAGTATCATTAGTAAAAATTAACCCAATCAAGTTGAGGTCTCTGTTAACTAAAGCGTAACTTAAGTTTTGAGCGAGTATTTGAACTTAGTTGGCCTTAATATTGTGGTCTGAAATCTTACGAGCTATCTAAGATTTTGGTTTGAATATAAGTTCTGTTTGTTTGTGATTAAATGGGTCAGTAGTATTTCTGGATATTCACTTGTTATTTTGTGAATTAAGGTTCTTATTTATAACATTATTTAACGTATATTTTATAGCGCTTACTTTTTATTTCGCCCTGAAAGTTAAGTTAGACCCCATTTTTCCTTCCCTTTTAGCAAGCATCAAATCCTTTCTTTCTTTCCTTAACCCCAAAATGATGGAAAACACACTTATAACTCCTCATTGTTGCGTGTATCTTTGCTTACCATCAGGTATGCTTTTTTGCCACCCTACTTAATTAACAAGAGAAACCCGAAAACAAACAATATCACTTCTATAATAAGAAAATAGTTTCTATCACACCTTTCAATCAAATCAAATTAATTAAACCCGTGCATTGGTTACAGCGGCATAACACCTTCTTATAATAATTATTTAAAACAAGCAATACGTTAGTACAATAACGATATGTTTGGGAAGGATGTTTACAAACTTCTTTCACATAAATAATACCAATGTCCGAAACAACAGTAGATCGAAAATACATCAGCTTTACACTAGTATTTTTCTCTACAAAACGACCAATCTTAGTGGAACATATGAAGAATTGTTATTACGACGATCAGAAATCGGACATTCAACAACCGACTGCTTAGAATTTGACTTTGATTTTTTTTTAAATCGTTGCCCCACTTTAGTATTTTCTCCTGTGTCGTGGGTGCGTTTACAAACATACACATCACACCTAGAAGCAGTCAGTGGGCAGTCGCCCAGTAACCGCACCAACCGTGCAGTCAATTCAAGTCATTATAAAATACACATAAAAATTTATACTTACACAGCCCGAATAGTAGCGATAGGCGTATTAAAATCTGAATAATTTTCCTTTAATCTGATTGGTTCATCTGGGACTTCGATAAATGAAGGACTCTTCTTATTGGACTCCACAACTTGGATGTCTAAAGTTATAGAACTTTGCTGAGGCGGGGTGCCCATATCTTTTACTATGGCGCTCAGTTTAAACTTGTAGCCAGGAGCTTTCTGTTTCAAAGAAAACATATTCATTAAGTATAATGTGTTCCGAGGTTTTGTAGGAAAACTAGATTAACGGATTTTGTCTAATAACTTAGACAGTTTGAAAATAGAAGTATGTACGAACACAATGATTAATAATCTGCTTCTTTAGGAAGTGAATTAAAAATAACTTATATTTAATTTGAATTATTTACGAGCATAAACAATGTGTTAAATATTTATCAGAAAAATTATAATTATAAATCGAAAGTATAATATGATTGTACTTGTAATTCAAAACGTGTAAAATGTGAGGACACAAAACAAAACAATAACGATTAGAAAAATACTTACATCAATAGTTTTATTCAAAAATATGACTCCGTTGTCTGGATCAATGTAAAAATACGCTTGGTCCGGCGAATTCGAGTCCAGACTGTAATGGACAATGGAATTGTTGCCATCGTCGATGTCCGTAGCAGATATCCTCATCACCTCCCTCCCACTGGGCAGGTCTTGTGGGACCGACTCCGAATACGACTGTATACATAAAATCCAAGTTAATATTACCACAAATTTTCTATCGAAAATCTTCCAGAAAACTCCAATAGCAAATTGTATTTTTAAATGTCACAATCCATGTTCCATCCTTCTTTGAAACCTTGATAAATTTTAATGAATTATTAATATTAAACACATTATAGATAGCATCAAATATAACCTATTTTTAGACATGTTCTACGCGAAGCATGCCCAAAGCTTAGAGAAAGTTTTTTCCAAAATAATTATAATCGTGCAGTGTGATAAAATGCGCCTAGGGGGAAAGAGCAGCCTAGCTAAAGAAAACACACCAACTACAAATGTGCAAAGAAAGTGTTTTGAAACACACGAAACACATAAAATATTATTACCAATAACGCCTTGAGCGGCGGCTTATGGTCCTATTACAGACATGCAGCAACATGCAAGTACAGAAATAGAATGTTTTTCAAAATAATTAACTTTATCGATTGGTACCATGGCCCGATAAACTACAAAATCAAATTCTTTAACAACAGCAATGGTAACAATCGAACAAATATACATATTATACAAGTTATAATTGCAAGTTTATTTCATTTTTGTGCGGAACTCTCTCTTTTTTTGTGATATTCTCTCGTTAAGACAAACCTTCCAAACATCTCCACGGAAGACCTTTGAAAAACAGGCAAGCGTTAATATAGTCTGCGCCACGTTTTGAGGCTAATGAACGAACAGTTAATTAGTCACAATTAGGAGGAAATTATCAGCTGCAAAATGAAGCTACACGCCACAGTATTGGTAAAGACTTCATTAAGAAACCATTAAGAAAGTTTAGTAACTTTATACATACAGAACACGGTCAAGACATAACATTACAATTCTTTCTAAGTTTCGACAACTATCTTTATGAACTTTAAACAAGAAAATACACTACTTCAAATCCCTGTTCCTGAGTATGATACACAGATTAATCATTTATGATTTTTCGCAATCGTATCAATTAGTTTGCGATCAAGGACGTGTAAATCTCGAAGTCTTTCCCTAGATGTATTTATGAGAAGCAATACTTACAACTTTGTCGAACACAGGCTGGTTATCATTTATGTCTTCTATCAGAATTTTGATGGTACATGCGTCGTCCAGCTGCGGTTGTCCGTTATCACTGGCTCTCACTGTTATGTAAGCTTCCTTTTCTCTGGACGGTTCATCATGGTCGAATATCTGTTTTACATTATTAAAATCAGTATTTTCTACATTATGGCTTTTACTATTAACTATACCTACCTTTTCTTCCCTTATTTTAGCTTTATTGAAGATACGAACAAGTTATGAAATAATATCATTGTAGAAAGAATAGGGAAAATCAAATTTGATAATTGCATTAGTTTGAAAATGTGTTCTGGGGAATCAAATACATTCAACGAAAAACAACGCTTAATGCCCTATCTTTAAAGTTCTACTTACATCGGCTGTGGTGATTTTCCCTGTCTCAGGGTCAACGTGGAACCTCTCCTTTTCACCAGGAGTGGAGACGAACTTGTATGTGACCGTTCCACCCATTTCTGGGGGATCTCGGTCTTCTGCGTGTACCTATAATTCGAAAATAGGTTAGCCACTGTCTTATTCTTCCCTTGTATTCTTTTTCTACGTTAATACAAACACAAATTGTCGTGGTGGCCCGGAGGTTAAGGAGCCCGCTTCTCATGATAGAGGGTGTGGGTTCGAAACCTGGCAAGTACCAATGTGACTTTTTCCAAGTTATATGTACTTTCTATGATTATTTAGACACCACTGACATACGGTGAAGGTAAACATCGTGAGGAAACCTGGACTTTATAGTTTCTAATTATAAGTTTGAAATCGCCAACCCGCATTGAGCAAGCGTGGTGATTAATGCTCTAACCTTCTCCTTATGAGAAGAGGCCTTTTCTCAGCTGTGAGCACTTACAGGCTGATGATGATAAACACAAGGCTTATCAGAATAATAACATAAGAGAATACTTGACACATCCGAACTAACAAAACGAAAGGATCGACGAACGATTTTTGAGCAAAATATATTCACAGAGATATAAGAAGCCAATATTTACACAAGAGTACACGTCTGACGCATAAAATATTAAGTGATTGATCAAACGAAATCGGAACATGATTTCACAAACGGATAGACAGTATTTTTTCCTCAATCCTTCGGAAGTTAAGTCACTATAAGGAGTCTTGTTTTTTTAGTATCTTCTTTTACTACGCCATCATTTATTATATCGTTTCAATCATCCCTTGGTTTGATTTGGTTTTGTTTATGTTTTCTGTTAAATATAGGGATTTATTTACCCTAATCTGGATCATTCAACCGTTTTCGAACGGTATTCTTATTTTGAAAGAAATATAATATTATTTATGGTATAGTGCTAAAAGATTTTCACACGTGGGGTTGTCTCTCTATAGCTATAAGTGTAGTTATACTAATTCTTATATACAAAAATATTTTTTGTAATTGTTATAGCATGTCTTCTCTCAGATTTTCTAACTTCTAGTGACTAAGTACTACTTACCTATCAAATTATAACAAAACTTTGTGTTAAGAAATGTATACCTTTGGCAATTTTCACTAGCTTAGGATTACTCAAAACTGTAATCTTTTTACCTAATATTTATATTCTAAATATTTGAAAGACACAAATATTAAACATAATTCTGACTCTGTACATCATCATCATAAGCCGGAAGATGTCCACAGCTGGACAAAGGCCTCTCCCTTAATTCTCCACTCCAAACAATAATTCGCCAATCATATGGCTCTATACCAAACTAATTTAGTTAATAGGCTAAGGACTGATTTTCATTTTCAATGGTTAGATAAAAGTTACCCGGGGAATAATTATGATGCTGTCGCGTCAGAATGTTTGTATAAGACAGTGACGGCAACATTTTTATTCCTTAGATAACATTTATCTGACAATTGAAAAATGAGCCTTAAATAAAAGACATACTTACAGTGAACACATAGGTTCCTACAGGCTGTTCTTCTTTGACAGTAGGCCTGTAGTTCAGGCACTCAGTGAACAGCGGTTTATGGTTATCCTTAACCGCCAATTTTGGAACCGTCGCAGGTACAAACTGAAATGATATTAGGACATGCCTCTACGTCAATTTAGGGAGCTACGCACATCATCTAGGGAAATAAATTTGCCCATTTCTTACAGTATACACTTTACCAATTTGATTTGAACTTTAAGACCAAGTCGTTTAAGGGTTGCGGACTAAGTACAAGGACCTACCGTAGCCTGGTTCGGAAAATAACGAGGTGATTTTTAGTCAGTAAAAAAATTGTGATTGAAAGGATTGAATGATATTTTCCCCTCAAAAAAAGGTCAAGGTTATTAGATATATAAAGGTAATTTGCTAAGTAATCAAATAACTACACGATATAAATTATTTATATACGTAACCACTGTAAGGTGTACCTTCTATTTTCTTACTGTATTCGAGTCTTAGTTACTTATGTAATTAGTTTATGAAACTTCGTTATTAAGTCATAATATAAGTCGACATTAACATGATTTATAATGTAGCTCACCACATAAATAATAATAAAAACGAAATAATTACTTAGACAAAACTTTATTATGAAGTGATACATTATACTGTAAGAAACAGGCGAAAAAATAAAAGAAACTTTTTTGACATTAATTATTTTGCATTGCATGCTGTCTACTTAAAAAAAAATGACTAATCACGCAAACATACAATTAAGTAAAAAAACTCATTTATTACAGACAGACGCTTTCTCAAAATTATGTGCAAATTTAATTAACAAATTTGTTAGTCAACATGCAATGACGTACTTTATATTATCATTATAATAAACATTAAAATAAATAAACATAATATTATTTAATTTGAATAATAATTAAATAAACATTAAAAGGCATAAATACAACTGATATATAATGGAATATAACATAGCGAGCAGTTTTAAAATAATAATTTAATCATTGATATAATAATAAAAATAAAATAAATAAATAAAATACACGTTATAAATATCGTATTTATTTGTAAAATACCTGAATATTTTCCGGGAAGCGCTTATTTTGGATTAAAATTGTGAAAATTATTATGAGAAAGTGGTATAAACATTATTTAACAATGAAATTCACTTACTTTATTCCATGACCGCTAAAAGTATGTTGAATATATGCATCCATACACAATATTAATTCCATTAAAATATTAAGTCATGCAAAACGTCTAGGGTCAATTTATTATTTATAATTATAATAATAATAATAATTTTGTATTCATATATAAAATAAAGAAGCGTTAAAATAACACGAAATCTATGGGGATTAAGCTTTTGGGGGCAGGGTGGTGATGGTGATAAATGAGGTTATTAAATGTTGTAGGTATAAGGGTTTGTACTCACGGAAGATGTGTGTATAGGCAGGTACCCTTCTAGATGTCTCGAGTGCCTTAATCTCGTGACATGGTGTGACGTGTGTTCTCGAGCTGTGGAAGAAAAATGAAAATTAGATTTCTCTTTATAGATTAAATTTGCCGGCTTTCTGCTGTCTCAAATGTGTTAGGTCGACGACATTGGAGGTTTATTTCCACGTGTCGAACGTTTTTGATTCTCAACCTTATGTTTATGTAATTAAACGCTGACAAATAAAATAAGGCTACTAGGACAGTACCCATTTAATATAATCTAGTGCTTCTATTTATAAATGACTTGAAAATCGATGGCCTAATTCACCGCTCTACATTTTAACTAGAATAATCTGTGTCCTTCGAGAGAAATAGGACGAAGGAGGCGCATTGCATATTCCGATCTTGTTCAAAGCAATGAGTCTGTATGTCTTTCTGTATATTATCTGTGCGTTTATATTAGGGTTGACACGCTGCTTCGGTTATTTGAAAGTTTCGATTCCAATTTCGGTTCTGACACTATTCGAACGACTCACCGGAGAAAAGTTTTCAAAAAGCCTTTTCAAAAATGTCAGTTACGTAATGAGGGTTGTCTGTTTTTTTTTCTCTCACCAGGTGGAGCTAGTGTCGTTTTTCGTCCAATTAGCTAGTGCCATACTGTTGGATGTTCGATTTTGGACAGCTACAGTGATTGGACAAATTTTTGATTGGCGAAAGGCAAGAGATTAATCTTGCCTAATTAACTTCATCTGCTGTTCAAAAAATGGCAGTTACAATCTCCAATTTACCTTTGATTGAAACGAATAAATACCTATTAAATTTTGATGACACGAAATCATTCAATTTTTTTTTTTCATGATAACAGCAGACTCTAGCTGGTGTTAAGCAATCAGCGCCCAACTGTGGACACCCGCAACATCAGAGGACTTACGAATTAGAGTTTCGGAGGTTTAGGAGGGACTGGGGAGGTAGGGGAATGGTTGAACCTCTAATCTTACTCACAAGGCGAAGCACAATGGTATGGTTATTTCACGCCGGACTTCTGTGAGACCGTGGTAACACTCCTTACCTTTTCGTGCCAAAGCTTAGCTCTCCGACATTTAAGTTAGAAACATAGAGATATGTACTTTTTTTTATTAATTCCTCCTCAATTTAACTTTCTCACAACCCTCGTACAAGAAAGAGCACATTGTTCAAAATCTTAGTTTAGCAATGAATGCATTCCAATCCATCTTCGGTTTCAATAATAAAGAACATAGGTACTAAAGGCCCATCCTTATCCAGTACATCCATCCATTTGAATTCGCGTTAGTCGCGGTCTGTTAGACCACGATGCAGTCGTCAATATAATTGCTCATCCGAATCCGAACACGGGTACAGGACAGGGTCCATACGACCGAGACTGACTTGGGAAATTGAAAATTAGATGGTGGTTGGTAATTCTGGAGTGTGGACTATTCTATTGATTGGGTCTTGTTTACAAATGTTCGGCCGTCGTACTTTAGTCATATGAAGGTTAATTAGGCAATTATTAGCAGTAACAAAATCTTCCTGATAAAATACATTCAATAGATTCATGGTTGGCGTAGTGGCTGGGCAGCTGGCTGCAGTGCTATGTGTCACGTTTTCGATTCCCGCACGGCTCGTTAATGCACCCACGACACAGGAGAAAATCCTAGCTGAAGTAAAGTTTTTTTTAAAGAATAAAGAAAAAGTTTTTTGTGTCGCAAGTTAGTGTTTCTGTTGTTTTGTTTGTTATTAATTCCTCCAATATATTAATTTTTTTCAATACTTTAGGTATTTTACAAAATTCTGACTTCTATTTGTGATCATTCATGTAATAAACTAGATGCTATTCCATATCTATTACTAACAAAATATTTTGGGTATATAGGTAACCCTATGCATTATTATTTTTATTAATGTAAATGTTACTTCGCTTTAACTTGACTTTAATTACTTATATTTATAAAACTAATTAAGACGCTCAACAAACACACTTCAAATTTGTTTCTACTCCCTCAGACACCGGTAGAGCTACATGAAGATATAACCAAACATACATAAATGCAACCAATTACTATGTTAAAATCTAAGCACGGCTCCTACAACAGTATCATACCAAGTTAATTTCAGATTGCCATAATATAACTTAGATACGAAGCAGTTTACATAATGTTTACACGTTTAACGTAAATGTTGGTATAAGATACGAAGACGGGAATCCTGTATGTTGTTTTGATTTTAGGATTAAATTTTTGACAACTATCTAGTTAGACATAAGCATAATTATTTCTAACCTCTTTCTTTTCATCCTTGTCTATGCGTAACCTATCTATTATTTTAATAAAAAAATATGAATAAGTACCTAAATACTTTAAAAAAAGAACAATTTATATTACGTACCAATATACTTTATTGAAGTACGTATCAAAAGTATTTACTTAAACGGAAAACCGTATAATTAGTGTTGGCGTGTCTGGCATGAATAAAAATCCATGATGGCGGACAATTGCCGCGCATTTTCGACTATTTATTGTTAAGCTGATCGGGTGCGGAACCAAAACTGACAGTTTGTAGACCAAAAATAAATGTTTGCGTTGGAAATGTGTTTAAAATGTGTTACAATTAAATATTTTGCGCGAATGGTAATGTTATGATGGTCAGAATCGTCGTTGGAATTTTAAGGGTGGCCATTATTTATTTATTTATTTATGGCTTCATGCTCAAGAAACTATTTGTACATAAGGTGGACTTTCGGTGATGCAAAGAAGAATACTGAAGGCATATGCAAGAAGTAAGCAGAATATTAATTCATTTTGACGAAAAGAAAACATCATCGAAGCAGTACAATTAAAACTTAAAGAACTCAATTAACCCTACAAACGCAAACGACCAAAAGAAACCACATATTAAAAACTAATTACCGCAACGGGTTGCTTAGAAAAAACCACTCAATGGGCGAGCCATTGACATCGTTTACTAAGCGCGCCCCATGCTTGAATATTCAAATTGGCCCGGTACAATGGACCTCTTAGATGACCTCTCCCTAGGAAGTCCAACAAAGGAACGCTGAGAAAAAAGGCTAAGGTTCCGGTGTCAGTCGCACGCGATACAGTCCCTGGCCCCTTTGAATGGGTACCTCTTGTGCTCACCTAAGGTTTCACCTAGTTTTATTCCCCAGTCGAGTGTAATAAATTTGTTTATTGTATTCTTTCTCAGTTTATGTTTAAGTGCAAACGTATATTGTGCTGTAAAAAATAGAAATGGAAGCTTTTGTACTGTTCTCCGTTGTACGTACTAGATTAACTTTTGTGGTTACTTATGTTTCCGCTTTTACGAGTACGTCCGCCATATCGGTTCGAGTTTCAAATAAAGTTGATTAACTATATACTGGAATGTGTGGTTCTTTATCGGTTCAAACGCTTCACATAGGTACACTAATTGTGCTATTTTAGTTCTTGTGCATTTATTTGCACTTTTTATTTTACTTTTCACTTTTTATGGTTGAACGTAATCTGGTAGTGGATACCGCCATTTTCTTTTTTTTATTACTTTTTTCGCAAAACATGACATCTCAAAAGTTTATTAAAAACCAGAACACATAACAAAAATGCTTTCTATTCTAAACTATCCCGGGAACTGGGCCTAATAAGGTTCGTGTTACAAATACATTAATTATAGCCCGTTGTTGTACAATGGCCTTACGAATTGTTCCTATGGGAGATCGTTCGTCCTATATGGCCCAGAATGGAACATGGTCGCTTTGGCCCCACATCGCATTTTCACGGTTAACGGTTTACGAGAGTTTGGAGATGAATATTTAATAGGTACACGAGTGATTGTGGATCGGGATGATAATGTTGCAGTACTTGGTCTTAAGATTATGTAGATGGGTAATGTGAACGCGTCTACTGAATTGGTAGGAAGAGAGAGTAATTTGCTGCTTATATGAGATGCTTTAGTCGGAATATTCTGTTTGATACATATTGTGTTTTAAGAATTCGAGAAACAAATCTTCTAATAATCCTTTCATTTCAAGTCTACATAGAAAAAAGAACCTAGCAACGTAGAAAAAAAGACACAAATTCAAAATTATTCTATGTCTCATCCAATGATATCAAAGACAACGTGTCTAGAACATTTACTATTATCCTTTTGAGTCGGTCCGTGTTCACCCTCATTTATACGATAATACCTTTCTACCTTATCTCAAAGGTAGACCAGCAATTCGAGTTGCCCCAACCTGACAAACTTCCCCAAAGAAAATTCTACTGTCTCACAGAATGATAGAGTCGAAATCTATTTGACAGTTGAGGGTAGTTTGACGTGCTACTGTATACCTCATAAAGCCGCTTAAGTATAAACTAGGTTACTTGAAATGTAAAATAAATAAAACTTGTTTATTTACACTATTACCGTAAAAATGTTCTTTTCGTATATCTTCAGTAGTTTGATCGTTTGATAGGGATAGTGTGAACGGTTTTTTTCGGTTCTTTTATTTTGTTTTGGTGTGAAAACAGTGGAAGATTTCGTATCGTGTTAATAATGATAGTTTTAAGGAGTCGCTGGATCCTCACTTGCTACCAATCGAATCGATTAACTAAATACTAGAGGCAGTCGAAGAAGCTGATAAGATAATAAGCCGCAGTGGTTTCTTTTGAGATCAATCTTCTATGAATAACGCATTATTGTACCAACTAGTCACTATTTTCAAATTCAAAGACTTTCAGCTCTAGCTTCAACTTGAACCTTAACCTGATAAGATAACAGCTTTACACCAAAATTCATTTTATCTTCCTTTTTAGAAACAAATTAGTGCTCTAACCGACAGTCTGGCTTCCTTAGATAAATCTAGCTGCCTAATTTATGCCCTGCATCAATTTTCAAAAAGGGAAAGAAAGAAAAAAAAATGTCGGAAAGTCTCTTAATTTACTTCATCAAAGCCTCCATCAATCAAGCTTCGAACCCGCTTTAAATTGATCCGACGTTTCCATCACTACTTTTTTTATTCTGTTTCAAAATAATAGTGAAGGGAAATCAGTTTGGGTGACTAACGGCTCGATACATTTAGTCGAGTT